TCTTCCAGATATCTTATGAATCCGGCACCTTGTAACGCTTCCTTTCCGCAAAAAGTCCAGAAAGATGGAATGCAATGAAGATTCCAACTTTTCTGCACAATCACAGAAAGGGGGTTACCATTAGCTTCCGGTAGCTCAGTCAGTGGCATGAAAACATCTACAGGCGTGTAGCTATATGTCGACCATGGCATGGCTAGAGGATAGAAGAACAAACAGAACACAAACATTTAACAGATTTTATTTAACAAAAAAGCATTTTCATTACATTTGAAATTTTAAAGAACAAAATAAGTTTTAAATCTTTGGCGCTGCTATAAAACTATACAGTTATCTTTCGCTGGTCCATTTTGACTGGACTGAAGCGAGGATGGCCAGGTGCTTGAAGTGGAGGTCCCAGTTATGAGGGGTGACCTCACATTTAGTGGCTTCAAAACCAGTTGTAGGCGAAGTTGAACTTAAAGGTGATAGCGCTGCCAAGGCACATGCATGCGTGAAGTGACAGGCCAAGCAATGCAAAGTCAAAGACAAAGGCAAAAGCAAAGTCAAAGACAATGGCAAAAGTCAAAGACAAAGGCAAAGGGAAAGGGAAAGGGGGTGGCCCCAATCATTTTGTCCTATTCGGACACACATTCTACAAAATTCTAGCACATGGTGCTATATGACCTCATGCTACAGAGAACAAAATTCTTAGCTCTTGCTAGATCGGCGGCTCAAGTGAAAAGGAAGCACGAGGAAGATCACAGATCAGGAACCCCGCATCAAGCGCGCTCCAAGCGGAAAATTTTCCAAGTAAAAAAGCTAGAGATGGGATTAATGAATTGCGATTCTGAAATGATAATCGAGAAGTGATTTAATAAATACAATCGGACGGTGAAACCGTTACAACCTTCCCAGAAAACTGGATATTTCCTCATGTCGAACCCATCCCCAAAAAGGGATAGGATTACAACTATAGGGCTATAGCTCTGCTTTCTGTTATAAGTAAGTTGATGGAGAGCTGCATAAATCGCGAGCTTCTGGGCTACCTCGAACGTCACGGCTTGATTAGCGCCAGACATTATGATTTCCGGCACCAGCGATCCAAAGTGGACATGATAGCTTACATCACGCAATTGTGGAGTAAACTCATCCAGTCTCAAGGTGGGGCTCATGTCGCTGCTGTTGATATAACGAAAGCTGTGGCACGCTGCCCTCTGATGCACACTTCCATCCTATGGCCCCCCAGAAAAGCTTTACAGATGGGTGGCTGATTTTTTCTCTCTGGCCGCAAGATATCCGTAGTAATTGACGAGTTCTCATCTTAATCCCACAACGTCAACGCGGGTGTTCCCCATGGATCGGTCTTGACTCCGCCACTGTTCCTCTTACATATCAACAACCTCCTGTCCTTCACGATCAACACAATTGACAGTTTAGCTGATGACAGCACTCTACGTGCAGGAATTCAGAGTCACAAGCCGATCTCTGCCGCTGAGCTGGAAAAAAGACGACTATAGACGACTTGCTCTCTGACGAAAGACCTGGAGGGTATCACTGCTTGGGGTCGCAACAATCTTGAACAGTTTAATGCTTCCAAAACACAGTACTGTACCTTGACGAACAAAAAGCGTCCTAGCGCTAATCCGGTTTCGATGGATGGCCAAGTTCTGCCAAGGAGCCGTTCATTTCGGCTGGTCGGGGTCCAGATCACCGAGGACGCGGCAGCTGCTGGGAAACGGCGAGGCTAGATATTTGTTTAGGGCTAAGAAGTACTTTTCTCCGCATGACCTTCTCACTAGCCCAGGTAAGGCCTAGTCTCAAGTATTGCTCACTGCCGCCCAGACTATGCTTTATGCTCGATACTGTCCAGAGGAGGGCTGTCCGACTGATCGATGACTTTTCTCTAATAGACTGTCTCGGGACCCTTTCGCAGCGGCGGGCCGTCTTCGATCTAGCTCTCATCTACCTCTACGCCAACGGGCTTTGCTCCTCAGAGTTCTCTTTCATGATGCAGCATTAACTGTCCTGTTCGGTTTCACCATTGCGCATAATCTCAGCCCAAACAGTAACGCCACCTCCAACAAACGCCTCTTGTGGAGCCTTGTTTTCTTCATCATACCAGCTTGCCTCCAAACAAGGACTCTACTATCAGAGTGGTATAGGTTGAAGCGTGTTTCATCGGAAAACATGAAATTCTGCCACTGCTGATGTCAATTTGCCCGCTCCCGTGCCTATTGGTACCTGGCGAAGATTGTTCAAGAGCCGAGTACACTTGGCGCGACGCGTTGCTCTAGAACATTGATTCCCAAAGTGGTCTATATCGACCCCTAGGGGTCTATGACAACCTGCAAGGGGTCTACGTCAGCGAAAAAAAATTTGGGGGTCCACGAAATGAATATGGGGGTCCACGATAGTGGATCTCAACACAAACACTGATAGTACCTATTTACTTACATCATACTATCTTATAATATCAAAACATATACATTATTTATAAAAGTACCTATGAAGTAAAAAAATTATTATATATGTTTATAAAATTGTGTAAGTTGTAGGATGTTGGTATTCGCTTTGTGGTCGCAATACATTTTGAACTTGTAAAAACCTGAGAGTCGCAGTCTCAGAGCTTCGCTACCTTGCACTGACTTGTTCAATTCGTCACTCTATAAATACGAATGTGGGACAAATACGTTTATTCGTTTCCTGAATCTTGAAAAGGAAAGTGCTAAGAAAATATTTTGAAAAATATAAACAGATAGTATATCACACAAATTATAGTGAGTCAGTGTTATTTTGTTTGAGAGTGCTGGAGAAAAGTAAGTACATTATTCTTTATTAAATTTTAGTTTTGTACTCGTAGTTAGCAAAGATAGATAAATTACGCCAATCATGACTTTAGTTATTAGTAGTTAAATATTCAATCATGCAAAATTCAATCATGCAAAATTACACGAATACTCCTCAATAGTTTCCTTTTGAAGGTTTTAGCAATGAGTAATATAATTACAGTGCAATCTCCGTAATTCGAGCTAATTGTTGCAAGAAGATGTTCGAATTATGGAATGTTTTCGGAAAAATCTAAAAATATTTTTAATATACAGCTGCTGGATTTTCTGTCTTATTTGAATAATTTAATTTGCCCACAGATGACTGATGCCATGTCCGAATCTAAAAAGAAATGTAGACAGTACAGTGTTGATTATTTGAAATTTGGCTTCATTCCATCATTGCCGGACAAACAATCGCCTATGTGCCTTTTATGCAACCAAGTTTTGGGCAATGACGCTATAAAACCATCTAAACTGCAAGATCATCTGAGAAGATGCCACCCTGATAAAACAGAGAAAGATTTGAAATACTTTCAAACACTCAAAGATAAATTTCAGAAGAGACCTACACTGGACAGAATGTTCACTTCGACGTCACAAAGAAATGATGATGGTTTGCGGGCGTCTTACAATATCTCTTTACTTATAGCAAAATCCGTAAAACCGCATACTAACGGAGAGAAGTTAATTTTGCCAGCCGTTGAAGAGGTTTTAAAAACTGTTTTACACAAACCTGCATCTGATATCATTAAAAGAATTCCCTTAAGCAACAATACTGTTGAAAGACGTATTGATGAAATGAGTTCTGATATTGAAAGCTTCTTATGTAATTATTTGCAAACGACCCATTTCTCTATACAACTGGACGAGTCAACTTTACCTGATAATGCAGCATTATTATTGGCATATGTTCGTTTTATTATGAATCAAGAAATCTACGACGAACTGCTCTTCGCAAGAACTTTGATAACCGACACTAAAGGTGAATCAATATTTCATGTTTTGAAGGATTGCTTCATTGAAATTATTTTTTTCACTTTTTTTTATTTTATCCCTCTTATTTTTTTTCAATGCGGGCACTTATGCCCAATGCGGGCACTTATTGGTCAGACACCTGTTAATTTAATGTTACGTATATTTTACATAACAGATACAAAATTTTATTTTGAGTAGTTTTAATTTAAATTCAATTAATAAATGTATAAATTAACATGTGTTTTTACTTTAAATTTTTAACACTAAACTTCACTACAGTTAGAAATTTACAGGAAATCAATATCAGGTAAGTAGGGGGTCTACCCTACACGGAAAAACATGGCAAGGGGTCTACGATACAAACAAGTTTGGGGAACTCTGCTCTAGAAGAAATACTACTTTAGAAAAGTAACTAGCAAATTTTGTATAACATTTACATACTTTAAAAAATTAGAATTATAAGTTTTTGTACAGTAAGATTGAATGTTATTATTCCACTGTGCCGCCGTAAGGTTTTGGATGAAAGCGTCCTCCTGCGTCTTACTTCCTGCAATCTTTCAGCCCGACCTCGTATTTTTTTAAACGGTATACAATTCCCTCGTTCTTTTTGAAAAAGACGAGGCATTTTTGAGAAAATACAGTCAATATTATTGTTACTTAGCGATAGCATGTTTGAGGTGTAGGTAGTTAGGATGAAACCGGAGAAACGTCCTATTTGCATGAAGAGGGTAATCCAAAAAAATACGAGATCGAGCCGGAAGTCATTTATTGCGGAAAGTTAAAAATTCGATAATTTGAGTTATAGACACCTTTCGAAAAATTCAAGAGATCACTTTTTTAGGATAGTCCAAATTGAGAGTTTGGCATAACCCCAAACTTATCTAAAAAAACCTGACTTGCTTTGCTCACCCTGTATAAGTGGATAAATAACAGAAATATACCGGTCAAATCCTTCTCAAAGAGTCGGTCAAAAACCTCCCGAATACCGCAACCCTGCTTGGTACTGAAAAGCAGCTGTTAAGCTGAGTACCCACCAGGTTAATAAAGGCCTTTTATTATTATTATTATTATTATTATTATTATTATTATTACTATTATTACTATTATTATTATTATTAACTCGATATCTCTTTCCGCTCCGAAAATATCGAGATTTGAATTTGGGTAAAATTTTTCATGTTGCAAAGCAGCCACCAGTTTAGTTCAAACTGATTTCAGTTGAGATTTTACGAAGAAATCTTTGATTCGCCTCCACGATTTGTCAGTGCTCTCGGATTGTTGCGTGAGGTTAGACCAAAATACATATTAACCTTTGGAAATCTTGCGGATCCGTTTGTGATCGCTTTAGTAGATGCTGTGACGACTGGAATGGATGCAACCACAACCTCCAACAGTGTCCGGACCCTGCCCGAAAATTTCTTTCTATTGTCTTCGAAAGATCATAGTAAGTGAAACGTACGAGGAGAGAACACACTAAAAATTGACCACCTTTCAAGTTTTTTGTGTGATAGTTTAGAAAAAAAGCAAATATGCTGGCCCATACATTTATACAATTTGCAGGATAGCGTACCTCTCGAAACAAATGTGGATCCAAGTCATCCCAATTATCGACAATTACGAGCCCCTTCCCACTTCAGTTGGCCCACTTCAAGATTTGTACCAAAATATGCCTTTATAAACTAAACATGACGAAACTATTCACTTCTAAAACAGTTTATTTTCTCAAAAACATTTTGGATACACTCTAGTCGTAAAAAATACATATTTGAAATCACTTAGACCTATAACTAATAGAACATCTGAACAAATAAACAATGTGCGAATAAATGCGCGAAGTAAACAAAGCAACAATTGAAAGATTACCATTGGGTAACATCAGCTCTATTTTTTATTACGGCTGAAATTCTTTGGGGCATAGTGTTAACCAAGTTTTGGCAAAAATTTGGTGTAAAACATATTATATAACATATTTCTTGAAGCTTTTGTCTCAGTTCGGTGATTGTACGAGCAGGATGTTGTCGTAGAACCTTTTTCATCTCGTGCCACAAAGTTTCAATAGGTGACAGATCTGGACTGCTAGAAACCCATTTCAAAAGTGGTACATTATTTTCTTCCATCCATTTTATAGCCTTTTTGCCACGCTGCACCATCTTGCTGAAACACAAAATCTTGGCCGGATGTCAAACATTCTTCCATCACTGGTAAAATCGATTCTTCTAAAATTGCCAAATATTTGTCTGTATCCACATTTCCATCAATAAAATGAAGTTTTCCTACTCCTTTTGATGACACACTGCCCCAGACCATAATGGATGCTGGAAATTTCACTTTTCTCTTCAGACAGTCAACATGGAATGCTTCTTTTTTTTTGCGAATAACTCTACTGCGACTGTCACCAACACAAACTTCGAATCGGGCCTCATCACTCCATTGTAATGCATACTATTGTTGAGGTGTCCATTGTCTATGTTCTTTAGCCCATCTAAGCCGATTTTTCTTTTGCAGTGGAGTTAATAGTGGCTTTTCTTTGGCCTATAAACAAGTTGTGCAACTTTAGGGTTTTTACTTCACTTTTTTTATAAGAAAACTTACCTTGCAAGTGCTAAATCCCAGTTTGTGGGCCTCTCTATGAGTTGTGGACCTCGAAATTCTCCTTCCAACAGCGTCACTCCACAGAGCACTTAATTGTAAATAATTGGCACGCCTGTTTTTCACGATTATTCTTCTTAATACTCTTCGGTCGGCATTTGTGATATTACTTTTTCACATATCGTGGCTTAATATTAACTGAACCAGTTACGTTATATCTTCTAACAATATTTCTCACACTGTACCGCGATAAGTCTAACAAAGTTGCACTTTCTGAGATTAATTTCCCAGAATTAAAAATCTGAATTATCAGTAACCGAATTTTCTCACTAATAACCTTTCCTGTACCCATTTTGAAAACCTTAACTACGCAAAACTATTTTAAACGTATTCTGACAGCTGTGATTATTAAAAACATTGTCATGGCTTTTATTTTTCACAGTCACCTATGCGTTATAGACTTATTTTGCATTGAAATGAAAATAGGTTGATATGCTGTAATTGCAACATGTGTTATTTTTATGCTGCAAATTTGATTAGGGAGTGATAAAGTTGGTGTTTTCTAGGGTGACTTCGAAGTTGAGTCATTTATTTTAACAGTGAGTAGATCTGATCAAAAGAAATGTTTTTTTCCTTTACCATTTTTTCTGGTAAAATTAAAGTAACAAAGTTATAGCCCTTTGGAAGTTTGAGTACCGCCCTGTCTTAATAATAATATTATGTGCTCGTGTTTGGCGACAACGGATATAATTCGCCTTATCGGTTAATCGCATCGGAAACAAAAAAGCGAAAGAATTTGGAACGATGTTTTTACAATTATTTCATTCAGTTGTATACAGTCAGTGTCAGTCGGTAGTGGATAGTAGTGTCTGTTGCGTGGCTCAAACGAAATAAAAAATGGCACATGTTTATGCGGATCGGTTTCCCAATCGAGTGCAACCAACCCCTCGTGCCTTTGTTAATGTAGTACAACGGGTTCGTGAATCATTTGACTTAAGACCTCACATATGGACGGCATGCCGGTGCTCCAAGACCTCACGATCAAATACAGGTCCGCACTGAAATACTTGTCGGGAGGTTACTTTATAAAACAAGCTAACATTTTTTTTTATTTTTTTTTAATTTTTACACACATATTTTGGTTTATCTTCCTTCTACAATCATTATCTGAAAATGAATGACTCAACTTCAAAGTCACCCTGTATATTATCAAAATATTCATTGTTAATATTTTAAACCTATAGCACCCTGCTACATTTTTATTATTTGTGTTTCATAAGAAAAAAACTAAGATTTCAATAGTTGGGCCAACTGAAGTGGGAAGAGGATCGTATGTCTGTTTACAGCACCATATAAATAGAACGCACACTCATCCGAGAAACAAATTCATATTTAATAACAGATTTGCATTGTTGATTGAACGTTGGGTCATTAATTGGCAAAACTCCAACCTTCTATCAAAATCGTCCTCATTAAGCTCACGGACAAGTTTTATCTTGTACGGGTGAAATTTATTGTCTTTCAAAATTCTTTGTACTGTTGAGCGTGTAAATTCTGAAGAAATAGCCAGTTCACGAGTGCTTTGGGTGTTGTCAAGAGTACTACGTGTCCCAAAACTGCTATTTTTTCGGCTTCATTTCTAACTGGTCGACTTTCTCGATGGCGATTACGGAAAATATCAGACACAGATCCCGCTTTTTCAAATTGTCTTATCAGCTTAGCCACACACTTATCGTTAATATTTTTGGCTGGATGTAAACCATTAAACAACCGGGCAGTAGCTCTTGCAAAGCTCCCATTTTGGTAATACAGTTTTGTTATTTCTGTTCTTTCTTCAATTGAATTAGTGATTGTTCAATATTCATCACAATTAGGTAGGTAAAGTAACAATTTGAAAGGAAACACAAAGCTTTTGTATGACATCCGATGACACTGACTGATGCTAAATGATCTTGCTGATATCCATGATTATTATTTTTTGCCGTGCATTCCATTATTATCAGTAATAAGTTATTCGAATTTTATTGTAAACTCAAATAGTTTCACAACGATAGGTATAAAGTTTATCGTACAAAAGTTACTAAAAACTTCATGTAAATTTAAAAAATGGAGGTTTCCAAGTGTAACGCAATATTTTTGAATCAACCTGTATTGTACAACTATAGGTGATAAGACGTCGTCCCCTAAAGTCAAAATTAACGTGTTCGAGCAGTTTTTCCAAAAGATACCAGAAGAGTACTAAAAATGGGTACGATCTTTTCGTTGGACCACTCTATTTATTAAATTTGCTTAATTAGTTTAGGTAAAAATGTTTGAATGGTTTTAATGAATCATCTTATTTAGATTTAAGAGGGTATTTGGATAATATTTGGAACCTAAAAACACATTGCATTTTACTGAATGATGTATATTTTAACAGAACAAAAGTTTGGAGATCTTGCGATTGATAGGTGTTTTCAAATCAAAATTAATTTTTTTTTATTGATTGTGAGCTTATTATATAGTATTGTAGCATTTTTCTGGGTTCTTTTGGGAGTGGATTAAAACACTGGATTCCACAAAAAGAAATGCGCTAATTTATTTAACTTGATAGAACATTTATATACACAATTATTTAGGTCTGACTAATTCTTATGCCGCCATTGATGGCACTGTACTCCACTCCGCTCTGCTCTGGTGTAATCTGTACTATAGTCGAAATCACGAAAGATGACGATTACGTCATACCATAAATTGTAACGAAATAATTACCGGACGTACGTCGATGATAAGGTTACGATGTCAGGAACATGTGATCGAAGTTAGCTGATTTCAGTGATTATTTTTATTTATTCTATTTCATGATTTTAAATTATCATTATCCGTGCACAAATTTACATTTTAAGACTTCTATTTGCAATAAAATTACATATTTATTAAAAAAAACAGCATTTCCTCTGTTCACAATAATAGTACGTATTTTGAACCTATTTTCCATCTAATATTGTTGAGTCCCTAGAGTTCTGACCAAAATCATAATAATACATTGGTATCAGCTCCATTAAAACGACCAATTGATTCTGAGAACATGGTTTTATTTTATAAAAAAAAAATACAAACACAAATAAGCATACCAAAGTGAAAATATTTTTGTACTATTTCATGTCATGCCATCCACTATTCATTTTAGCATAAGCTACAAAATTATATGAAACATATATCAAATAAAATAAACTGTACATTTCAATATGTTATTCCATTACTTATGGTCAAATTCAGATTAAAAATTAATAGCTACTGTCAGATTCAGTATCGCTATCTGAATCAAATGAGATTATCAGTGGTTCTATTTCACGAGTAATAGTTTTGGTGTACCACTCTAAAATTACATCATGGGTATGCTTCACACATTTTTTCCAAACCTCTGGTGTAATTTGTGACAGAGCTTCATTCCACATAGCTAAAACATTTTCATCACTATGACCACATCTTCCAATATGTCTATCATAATACTGCTTAGCATTGGCCCATATTAACTCGATGGCATTAAATTCACACTGGTATGGGGGGGTACGAAGAACTTCATGTCCATAACTTCTTATGATTTCATCTATTAAATACTTCTTTTCCTTACGATTTCTTTTCACTATATTCAACTCCACTTTAGTTAATGTTGGTTGGAACACAATTTCATTTTTAACCAGCCAGTCAATAATCTCTTTTTTTGGAGAACTTGTGTTTGGAGTCTTTTCCGATAAAATGCTATGATAGGATGCATTATCCATAATTATCACTGATGGCTCTTCCAAGTTGCAGAGGAGTTTTTCTTTTAACCACTTAATGAATGTCTCGCCGTTCATATCACCATGGTAATCTGCAGATTTAGACTGTGAGGAAAATAACAGACTTGCTCTATCAACAAATCCTTTTTCGCTCCCTGCATGGACAACAATAAATCGCTTTCCTTGAAAGCCCAATGGTCTCCTTACACTTTTTATTGACTCATCTTGCAAAGACTTTTTTGGACTGCCTTTTGAAAATATCCATGGGGGAGTCTTTACAAAATGCTGCCGCGGCATCACGGATTTATGCGGATCGGTTTCCCAATCGAGTGCAACCAACCCCTCGTGCCTTTGTTAATGTAGTACAAAGGGCTCGTGAATCAGGTGACTTAAGACCTCACAGGGGAGGGCATTTTTACACACATATTTTGATTTATCTTCCTTCTACAATCATTATCTGAAAATTAATGACTCAACTTCAAAGTCCCCTGTATATAGTCCCAATTGCTGTTTTGAGAAAGGCCGGGTGAACCACAAAGCGACATCTAGAATATTGGAGGTCACTTCGCGTCGATCTACACGGCGATCCCTGTCACGGTCCTCACAAACGCCGCCAAGCGGCTTGGGCGGTCGTGGTTCGCGTAAAAGCAGAGATCGGCCATCAAGCTCTGGCGAGTAGGAGTCTCGCCCAATAGATGGCCCCAACAGAACTATTTGTCAGACTGTCCCCTCCCTGAAGTCATTCCGTCCCGGAATGATCTTACTGGCGGTGGATGTCGATATCGGCACGACGGCCCTCTCTTGCAGTAGGAGTTCTTGAAGAAGTAACAATCCACACTCTTTCCAGGAGGTAGCCGTCTAGGATTGTGACAACATACCAGAAATCGAATGCCTGTATACAGGAAGACTACCTCAAGCATGCTTCGAATGATTTTCCAGTTCAGGTTGTTCAGTCCACATGCCAGCTTAGGTATTGCCAGTTTTCTCAGGTCCTCGGCAAGCAAGACTTCTCTAAGTGAACACAAAGCGTTCTTAATCCTGTAGAGAACATCGATAATGGCCTCCAGTACTTAATATGGCCCGTCCCAGGATGATTGAATTTTAGGCGACAGCTCATTTCGTCTCTTTGGGTCGTAAAGCCAAACCGTATCACCGTTGTTATACCTCTAGTCTTTGGCATTAACGTCATAAGCTTCTTTCATCCGGTCTCTGGCACCTTGAATTGAAACACGAACCTGGCTGTGGATGGCGTCCATTCTTCTACGCAGCTCACTTACTTAGTCTTCTCCGGCAATGTCAAGTCTTGGTGGACATCCAAACTTTAGATCGCATGGGAGACGAAGTTCTCTTCCCCTAACTGTTCGAGCCGGAGTCTCTCCTGTGCTTTCATCAATCGACGATCGGTAAGCCAACAAGAAGAGGTGAAGAAAACTATCCCAGTCTTTTTGATGGCTAGAGACTACCTTAGCCAGATACCGGTTAATGGTCCTATTCATGCGCTCCACCATTCCATCTGACTGCGGGTGTAAGGCAGTAGTCCTGGTCTTCTTAATCCCAAGAATTTGACAGATGCTTTGGGACAGATTTGACTCGAAATTGCGCCCTTGGTCCGAATGCAACTCTAAAGGTACACCAAATCGACAGATCAATTCCTTTACTAAAGCATCGGCTACCGTAGAGGCTTCCTTATTTGGCAGAGCGCATGCCTCAACCCACTTCAATTACCACAATGATGTGCTTATTCCCTGCTTCACCTTCTGGAAAGGGTCCCGCCACATCAATAGCAATACTTTCAAAGGGGCTCCCCACGTTGTATTGGCGCATCGAAGCTTTTGGTTTCCTTTGCGGTCCATTACTTGCCGCACCCAGTAAAATCTTTTCCTCACTTTTCTCAGGGTTTTTGTAACTCCGAGATGATCTCCTGACACACCGGAATGGATTTCTTCTAGCAGCTCCGGGATCCGACATCTGGGGACAACTATTTGTCTTCTTTCCTCTTTGCCGTCGTGGTTCACCATTTTATGCAGTAAGAGTCCGTTGTCCATAACGAGAGAATTCCATTGTGCCCAATATAATTTTATGGTAGGGGAATACTTGGCAACTTCTTCCCAGGCTGGTTTTCGTTGTTCTTTCATCCTGTTTAGAATTATTTGGAGATCGGGGTCGCCCTCTAGATCTTTAATGAGCTCTTCATTTTGCCAGGAATCACTAACGATAGTGGTTCTTAATACTTGGGCGTCTTTCTCCTCTGCGCGCTGGCATTGCATTTCCATGGATTTTTCCCGCTCGATGTTACAGCCTCTCTATCCATCTTGCAACTTGAACCTCTGGATTCTTAAACTGGAGAAGCCATTTTAAGCTTCGTGATCGATCTGGAGTAAGAATTTTCTGCCATAGAGGTATTTGTACAAATGGTCCATTGCCTTTACGACGGCCAGCCTCCAGGTAGCGCAATAGCACCTATACCCACATTGCTTGCATCTGTGTCTAATACAAACTTTCCTTCTGGCAGTGGATAGCTGAGTATAGGGGCGCTTGTTAAAGCTTCTTTCAAGTGGGTAAAAGCTTCTAGGCAATCCTGATCCCATTGAACTTTGTGTTCTCCTTCTGCCAGCCTGGGCAGTGGTTTTGCGATGTTAGCAAATCCTTCAACGTAACGTCGATAATACGTACACAATCCTAGGAAGCTGCGTAGCTCACGTATGTTCTTCGGAACTGGCTATTCTGTTACAGTCTGGATTTTATCCTTGTCGACCGCGACTCCCTGATTGGAAAGAACATGGCCAAGATGATGCACAGCTCTTTGAAACAGGTGGCATTTCTTTGGGCTTAATTTCAAGCCAGAACCTCGTAGCCTTAAGAAAACTTCCTCTAGGTTCCCAAATGATTTTCCCATCACGATAATGTCAACAAGGTAAACCAGGCACGTTTTCCAGGATAGTCCTCTTAGAATCGTGTCCATCAGCCTTTCAAAGGTGGCAGGAGCATTGCACAAGGCCGAACGGCAATAATTCGGTGCCCACCGTTCAATATAATGTTTCATCTCTTATCCTTCAATATTGACATTATTTTTTCTGATCGACGCCATATTGGATTTTTGCAAAGATGAAGAGAGTTTTTAATTCTGATTTCAAAAATGTATAATATATATACAGGGTGACTTCGAAGTTGAGTCATTTATTTTAACAGTGAGTAGATCTGATCAAAAGAAATGTTTTTTTCCTTTACCATTTTTCTGGTAAAATTAAAGTAACAAAGTTATAGCCCTTTGGAAGTTTGAGTACCGCCCTGTCTCAATAATAATGTCATGTGCTCGTGTTTGGCAACAACGGATATAATCCGCCTTATCGGTTCATCGCATCGGAAACAAAAAAGCGAAAGAATTTGGAACGATGTTTTTACAATTATTTTATTCAGTTCAGTTATACATACAGTCACTGTCAGTCGGTAACGCGTGTGAATAGTGTCTGTTGCGTGGCTCAAATGAAATAAAAAATGGCACATGTTTATGCGGATCGGTTTCCGAATCGAGTGCAACCAACCCCTCGTGCCTTTGTTAATGTAGTACAACGGGCTCGTGAATCAGGTGACTTAAGACGTCACACGGGACCTCACGATCAAATACAGGTCCGCACTGAAATACTTGTCGGGAGGATACTTTATAAAACAAGGTAAAAATTTTTTTTTTATTTTTACACACATATTTTGGTTTATCTTCCTTCTACAATCATTATCTGAAAATTAATGACTCAACTTCAAAGTCACCCTGTATATATATATATATATCATATATACATATAATACATTGACATTGGCAAACCTTAGTTATTCCAGAAAAACGGAAGTTCCTAGGTAGTTATTGGAATTATCACATTTTATTTCTCTCGTATACCAGATCAGACCTCAAATTGAACATAGCAACAAAGCTTGGAAGACTGAGAAGAGAAATAAATCGAGCAGTGAACAATGAACAGAGAAGACAAAATAACGAACAATATTTTGAAGGTCTGATATGATTCACCTTTGCTTACTTATGATTATTATTTCCAACAATAAAATTTTCATTTTGTGTTCAGGATCCAATTTCAAGGTCTACATAGAAAATTCCGCCTTTTTTGAAGTAACTAAGGTTTGTTAATGTCAATGTATGCCGTATTACACGTTTTCGGAATTAGATGGCCCTAGTAGTACCGAAGGAGTGTCCCTGGCGCGGTTCTCAACAGATGGCGCTAGCAGTACTATTCATTCTTGTTACAACATAATGGCGTATTCAAGGTGTTTAAAAATGTTTAGCTTTGTGGGAATTTTTACAAAATTGCAATATTTTTTGTTGTATTTTTTCTGGGCTACATACATACACACTTTTATTACAGCTTATGACATCTGTAAAGCAGTAATATCCCAAATGAACATAGCGACAAATACTGAAGAGCCAACCGAACAGAAAAAAGAGGTATATATCCACTCAAGAATAAATTTTGACTATCGTTTGTCAGTTCAAGCTCTTGGCGCAACTATAAAATATCTGGAGAAAAACTGGGCCTATTTTGAAATTGTTAAGGATGAGCTCCAGTATTTGGAAATTGAGCAAGTTTCAAGGTAAAGTGAAAACTTAAGGCCCGTCACGTCATTGCATCCTAGCGATAAATTTACTTGTTATGTTTTAAGCAACATCCCAGGCAAGATGTCAAACATTTTGATCCCTGTACTCAGACAATGAGTGATAAGGAAGTTAATTTATACTATTAGTAAAGTAGACATATGGGCATTTTATTTTTTTAACACGCTTTTGATAAGTTTTCCATTATACTTATGAGAGTGGCATTAGATGTGTTACACCCATAAAAAATAACTTGTTCAATTTGCTTTTTTGGCTATAATGACTATATTTAAAGCATCGTGTAGTGTCAACGTTTTATCTTTATTTTTGTTTACCTTTGTTAAAATGTTCTCTCTTAGTTTTTTTGTGAAGAAAACAGTTACTGAGAACTGATTAGTACAGAAATTTGTAGTTATTGCCCTTTCATTTACTAGTGTTAAGCATAAGAAGGTAGACCTGTTACTATGCGTATACTCTATCGCCGCATTCGATCCTTTGGACTTTCTACATACCGTCCACGGTTAGTGCTTTCTCTGACTGCGGACCACTGCCGTCATCGATTGAGCTGAAGCAGAGAACGACAACATTGGGAGGCAGAATGGCATAATGTCATCTACAGCGACGAAACGCTATTCTGTCTAGGTACACACGATAGTCGTAGAAAGCTAAGACGCCATCGTGGAGAACGACTTGATATTGGATTTACTGTTGAGAGGCATGTACACAGGATTAGCTTGGGAAGCTATTGCCTATGGTAGCCGATCACCCCTTCTCTTTGTTCAAGGCAATACTACGCTGCGCGTTATGCTGCTGATGCCCTACAAACCACTTAACTGCCGTATCTCGAGGGCCGTCCACACTTCCTTTTTCAGCAAGACAACGCACGTCCCCATATTGCTCGTCGTACTACAGACTCTCTTCAAGAAGCAGGAGTTCCGGTTTTGCCGTAGCCACTCAGTTCACCGGATTTAAATCCCATCGAACATGTGTGTTCGAGTTTCTTGGAATGAGGTGCCACAACCAGACATCGATCATCTATTTTGTCTATGCCTAGACGTATGCAATAGTGTATTCAGCTGCGAGGTCGCCCAACACATTCATTTTTTTCTTATTACTTGTCAATAAAATTTCCTGCGAATGTTATCGTTTCATTTTTGATGTAAGACTACGTCATTGCCAAAAAATCAAGTTGAAGAAATTATTTTTTTCTGGGTGTAACTCTTCCAATGTCACTGAGTATATTTGAGGCCTGAAATGGACGTCTCTAAGACGTCATGTGCTATCTGGGAGTCTAGTAGGGACGATAGTATTGCCACGTAGTCAATAAGGCTTGGGTGGATTTGTTACAAACAGATTCTGAAATATCGGAGGACTAGAACGTGTTTGAGATAAAACGGTGTTTTTTAGTTCTTTACTAACCACTTCGATACATTTTGTAAAAATGCTTTTGAAAAATTGCGGAGGTGTTAACGATGACTCGGAACGAGAGGGTAGGTAAGTAGAATATGAATTTCGGCGCCTTTCTAAAGAGTGTCCCAAAATTAATGCAAGTTTTGAGTTAAATAGAAAACATAGTTTTAAGTCCTTAAATTGTTATTTTTATTAATCCATAAAGTACATAGGATAGGGTTATGTATGGAATATTACATCGGGCAAATGGCCTCCATGGCTTTGCTGGCACATAAGCACTCATTTGTCGGAAATTTGTATGACCTTTCTGCATAATGGTGGCTGAATTTCGTTGATACAACTTTTAATTTCCTCTTGTAATAAACGGGTGGTTGGAGGCTTGTTGACATATAGTCAACGCCAAACAAAGTGGCGTGCACGTCATCAAGGTGGGTGTGTTGAAAAATTTACATTGTTGCCAAACTTTTTGTAAAATAATAAAATTTATTATTTACATATCTAGGTTTATAAGCAATATTAACCTCAAATGAGAACAAAAATAATAGTATAATAAAATTATAGATCTGTACTTGCATAATCATTAAGTATGACAATTATTGATCAGATGACACTATGAAACTACCATATTTAATTGATAGCTTAAAGGTACTGAATAAAATCCAAATGGGGTCCTCCAAATTTTATGCATGGTATTTATTTTACAGAATTCATACAGAAAAATGCATTCTAAAATTAGGTAAGCTACTGGTGTAAGCTTTTTCTGTACAATAAAGTTAGTCGGAGTTTCTTTCTTCAGCGCTGTCTGAATCTGAATCTTCATCACTCTCAAAGTTGATTATTAAAGGTTCGATGTCTGGTCGATCAAAAATTCGTTCTCTTTCATACCATTTAAAAATTTCTTGCTCAGTATGTCGAACACTATTTTTCCACATGTCTGGGGTAACCGTTTGTAGAGCCTCGTTCCACATATCCAAACAGTCTTTTTCACTGTTACCATCTCTACCAATATGTCTGTTATAGTAACCTTTTGCTATGGCCCAAATTAACTCAATAGGGTTAAATATACAATGGTAAGGAGGCAGACGAAGAACTTTGTGCCCATGTTGTTCCGCCAATTCATCAATCACGTATATTTTAGGTGGTTTGTTTCTAAAAAACCAGTTATTTTAAGAATAGGAATAAACAAAAGAAATATAAACTGTCGACCAAAATATATATAATTAAGAAGCATTATGTAACGAGCAACAATACTCAATATCTCTGTTTTAAACATTGTGTTTAAAAATGGTATGTTTTGATTTGTCAACCAGTCTTGGATATTTTTTTTTGTCCATGCATTGTTGGGCACTTTGTTCAATATCATGCTGTGATAAGGGGCGTTATCCAGTATAATCATAGATGGACTCTCCAATTTTTCTAATAACTGATGTTGAAACCATTTCAAAAAATTGTCCTGGTTCATCTCTCCATGGTAATCGCTCAATTTTGTTTTCGAAGAAAATATCGCTTCACTACCCTCAATAAACCCATTTTCATTTCCAGCATGTAATATAATGTATCTAAAATATATTAGTTTTAAATTTTATAGTGCAAATTGTGTAAAAGTACATACCTTTTACCATCTGTTTTAATAGCTTTCACGCTTTTTTGGTTTCCATTTTGCCAAGAGCGACCTATGGTCCCATTTTGAAATATCCAAGTTTCATCGAGGAAGACAAACTGGTATAAGGCCTCAACCTTGGCTTGATTGTATTGCCTTAGAAATTCCACCCTTTTCAAAGCTATACTTGGTAGTTCCATGAGCCCTCGTCGCGGATTGTCCTTAAGCCACTTAAATCCAAGATCTCTAAGCAACCGCCTTAAAGACGTGGCACTACCATCAAATAATGCCCTATCTCTTAATCGAGACCATAAAGTTTGTATCGTAATTTGTTCTTCTGAAACCATGTGTAATATGACATTATAATTTAGTTAACAAATTAATGCAAATTTCTGATAAGTTATTATAATAAGATCTTACTTTTGTGATACATATTATAGATCACTTCTCGAATGGCACTTGTATCCAATGTCGCTGTGTTGGTTACACGTTTAATATAACTCCGCTTTTTCTTGGGCGCTTCTAAATTTGCATCACTTTTCACACCCTCGGAAATACGACTAACTGTCCTTAAACTAATTTTTAAAGCAGCAGCAACACGCTACAAAAAATGAAATAAAATTTCACTATTATTAATATACATTACATATAATTATTAGTAACCTACCTCTTGAACAGCATTTAAAGGCAACAAAGGCCCGTTGTTGTCCCTTTCTTGCTCAAAGTAGTGCATTAACGAGGCCACGAGTTCCTTACACCGACTATTTAACTGTTTGGGCATCTTTATATACCAAAATTGCCTTTATCTACTCGTAAAATGAATAATTTTGTTTTGAAACAAACAGATGTTGATTTACAGTATGCGGGGCCAAAGGATTTATAAAGATTTGAAATGCCACAAATTGATTCAGTGTCAAAATTAATACAAATGTCAGTTCCCAGTTTAAATAAGTTTCAAGGTGACAATGTGTCAACGCTGCGAAATCGGTTTAGTGCGTTTACATGTCGATAAGTGATTGGAGCGTTTGCAAAACATTTTATTTCGCATAATGCGTCTAAATTTATCAGAAAGCAACTTATGTGATATTTTAATAACAATGTTTATATGACTATTGACCATAATAAGAGAGTAATGACCATTTTACAATTTATATATCACATTAATATGAAACTGCAATAGAGCAATTGTTTGTGATAGAAACCTAGGCAATAGGTCGGGGAATTTTTATCGTGATGACGTGCACGCCACTTTGTTTGGCGTTGACTATAGACCTTCGACTTTAACTAACCCCATAAGAATAAATCTAATGGTGTTAAATCACACAATCTAGGAGACCAATTCTGATCCCCGAAAGTTTTAGACCAGGAAATGTCTGATGCAGTAATTGAATTATTTCACTAGCTGCATGGCATGTGGCGCCGTCTTGTTGAAACCACATATTGGACAAATCCATAGCATCCAATTTATTCAGAAAGAACTGTTTTATCATGTCACCAGTAACAGCTACTACTTCACCAGCCTCATTCTTATTGATGCTTCCAGTCCAAAGTAAGCACCAAACAGTGACACGTGGGTTCTTCGAACCCCAAATACGCCAATTTTCTCTATTAACAAGGCCTTCAAGGTAAAAATGCTCAGGATGATTTGTAGATGTTCAATAATCCATTCCATCTCTTCGCTGTTCATGGTCATTAGGCTTCAGTTGTTCTGTTAATTGAATTTTGGAAGCATGGAAACACAAGATCTTTTGTGAGTATACGCTGTAGAGAGCTGTTTTGAAATTTGCAATTCTTGTCCACCGCGCCGAATTGGCGATCCTAGGTTTTCACCAACACTCTCACGCACTGCTTCAACATGGAATGGCTTGTTGTTTGTCGACCGGTGTGTTTAGCGTGCCCAATTGATTCAGTCACCCTGGATTTTTCAATTTATCTTTTCACAGTTGACGAGATTAAAACACTACTCCGGCCATATTTTGTATAAAATTTTCGAAATGCGGACGCTAAACTTTCATTATTCATTTGAAATATTGTTCAGTAATGAAAACAGGTAGTTGTATCGTATATCGCTCCATTTTTACTAACCCTAACCTCTCAGCTGTCAAATTAATCTTTTTTCAGGGCTGCGTACAATTCACTGCAAACATGGCTGCAAATTCAAATCTTGCGTTAATTATGGGACTATACTATACCACTCCTGAACGCACTGCTTGTGGGACGTCGTTGTCACGTCTTCAATTTTTCAGGAGCATTTGGATACACCGCGCGATTATTTTTGCCACATAGACGTCATATCGACCTCGGATAAACGTCATATCCACGTCATACAGACGTCATATCCACCTTACACAGACGTCATATCAACTTTGTATTTGGTCTTTTATACGGCATACTATGACGTCATATAATGACGTCAATTCGGTGTAACATTAGATCGTCGTAATCACGTCACTCCTACGTCATTTTTGTTGGTCGGCGTACGTCAGTAGTGACCTAAATATGCCGACGTTACGACTTTAATATGTTCACTGGGTTACATTCTTGTTTTTTCTAGGGCAAACCACGTTTTAATAGACAATTCGACCTTTCAAGGTTTGAATATTTTTTCGCAACTCAACCACGACGCTGGCTTCAAAAGAGGGCTACACAATGCCAGCAGAGAGGGTTTAAGCATTTATAAAATATTTTCAGCACATTGTAAATCCAAAATTGGTCTCACAACTTTGAGGTAATTAATATGGTAATACAGAATTGGGTAAAAATATCTCAACAAAAATAAGTTGTCCAAAGAACTAAGACACATAATGAGCGATCTACATGTTTTAGGGCCGTATCGCCAGTCGTTCCTACAATTGCAGGACGCCTTTATGGCTTCTTTGATTCTCATAGTCTTTGTTCTCATTCAGATATGCTGGGGTGTTTTTAGATTTCTATCCGTGTCAGCGACAGCGATCTCCTATTGTCAGGCTATGTTTTCTTTTTGAATTGTAGGAAATTTCAGTCTGATATAACAGATAAAATAAATCAAAAGCATGAACAATTTGATGCAAATATATATTTGTAACATAACCTCAAAATAAAGTGCCGACACGTACAGTAAAAAACTATGAAAATCAAGGAGGCCATAAATGGCGTTCTACAATTGTAGGAATGACTGAAGATATGGCCCTTAGGCTCTACAGTAGTCTTTTTGAGGTGTAGACAAGAAATTTGACCATTTACAAGGAATGGTTGTTTTTTTAAGGTTCGATTCTGCTATTGACCAACTAGAATAAAAATTTGCGCTTTTGCACAAATCGGAGCAATAAGAAGGTCTTTGAGATAATAACTCCAATAAATTTGGCTGATTTTTTCTAAAACTAGATTTGTGTAAGATGAGCTCCTAATTCTCATATTAAATCAAGAAATACAGACTGTCCAGTGGGAAAGTTTACATTTCAAATTTGAATTACGCGGCAACCGTATACACGAGGAAGTGGGGAGAGGTCTTGATCGGCGCGTTCGGCGTGCGGGTTAAATAGTCACAACGGAACATTGGACCGGAGCGCGACGTGCTTTTAGTATCGAGGCTTACTTTGAGACTGGTGATACATATGCAGCTGCCATTCGGAAATTTTGTACACGATACAACATTCGCCGACCAAGAGATGCCCCTAGTAGGAACCGATTGAAAAAGCGGATTAAGAGATTCCGTGAAACAGGCTCTACTCTTAGACAACCCATTCCTGGACCCACACCTACTGTATCAACCGAATAAAATGGAAGCATTCCGCTGCTTTGGGAATCCCTAGGTCAACACTGCATGGCATAATGAAGAAAAAAATGGGTTTTCATGCTTATAAAACCCGATCAATCCATGCTTTAAAGGAAAGTGGTTACGTATTACGAAAATCTTGTGCTGAAGGGATGTTGAATCTTTTTCCTACGCAGAGCAGACTCGAGAACGTTGTTTTCAGTGACGAGGCCCATTTTCACTTAGGCGGTTATGTGAACAAGCAAAATTGCAGATATTGGACACCAACGAATCCAAAAGAGAAACACCAACAACAGCTTCATAGTCCAAAAGTGACTGTTTGGCCGTATTTCTTTGAAGATGAAAACGGTCATGCATTGACAGTCAACTCCGAGCAATACAAGGACATGATTGACACTTTTGTGCTCCTATTGTAAGAAGAGAACGCCGATTTAACAGAAACACATGTTTTCGGCAGGATAGGGGCCACTGCCCATACTACCATACAATCGACGGACACGCTGAAAGCACTTTTTCTTGAAAAGGTTATATCGAAGTTTGGAGACATTCAGTGGCCTCCTAGGTCGTCCGACCTCACCCCATGCGATTATTTTTCGTAGTGTTATCTAAAGTCAATAGTGCATTCCAATAATCTACGAACACTGGAGGAGCTTATAAGACAACATTTGACGAGAAATAAACATTATCACTCCGGAACCCTGCAAGATAGTGTTCCAGAATTTGCGCGCGATTAGAAGAGTGTGTCGAAGGGATGACAAACATTTGGACGAAATCGTATTTAAGAAATAAAACCCGCCGAATTTACGAATATGTTGATAGTAATAAATATATAATAAATATTTTCTTTTCATCAAGTTTGTATTTTTTTCCTTAAATCAAAAAGTGAACTTTCATTGGGATCTCGGGAACTGTATGAGATATGAAGTCGTTTTTTCATATGGACACTAGATATATTGGAATTTTGTACATTTAAATGGACTTTTCAGTCCTCATTTCATTGATGTAGTTCATTAGTTGGCCATGAGTTTGTTGTTCGATGGAAATCACAAGGAAATAAGAAGGTATGGTGAAGCCTGAACACATAATGAAAATATTATTGACGGTAATAACAATAATAAAATCATAAATAAGCAGAGGTAAATCATAGCAAGTGTTCAAAATATTGTCAGTTTTTTGTAAAAAAAGCCTGACTCGTCTCACTGCTCGATTTATTTCTCTTCTCAGTCTTACAAACTCTGTTGCTATGTTCAATTTGAGATCTGGTCTGGTATACGAAACAAATGAAATCTGGTAATTCCAATAACTACCTAAGAACTTCTGTTTTTCTGGAATAACTGAGGTTTGGCAATGCCAATATGTGACCACGTATTATACATTTTTGAAATCAGAATTAACAACTATACAGGGTGGCCCATCCATGTGTGGACGGAATATTACTCATAAACAAATACATTTCGGGAAAATCTATTTATGGCATGTTATACATGACATTTGAGGGCACATTTCTAAAATGTTGCCAATTATACAGGGTGTCCCAATTTTGTCCTACATATCAAAGTTGTGATTTTTTAAATGGAGTGCTTAAAATTTTATTGCACATTTGGATGAACCAATTCAAAAGAAGAATATTGATAAAACATACTATGGCGTTTTGATAAATAGCTACTGAGATGCAAGGTGTTTTGTCCAGAAAAACCGTCCGCTTCGGCAACCCCTCAATCCGCCATTTTGAAATTTGGAGTGTTGAATTTTATATCAGGAAATACTTACACACCTCAGCTTTTATCTTATTTGTTACCTTTTTGAATTTTAATTTTTACTCATACAGAATGGCCAAAAATGCCAATTGCAGTTTTTCTCAAAAAATTCAAATGCATCACCATGTATATTTGTGCAAGTTTGGATTCAATTTTTTTTGGTATAAGGTTTGATTCAGATAAAATCATTAGTCTTTGAATGATTAAGCTATTAATAGAACAGCACACCAAATTTAAGGAAAAAATCACATCAACCATGGAAACAAAAGACAAACAGTGCCACTAAGAGTACAGATTTAACGTAAAAACTGATAACAATCAGAACAGTATAAATAAGCTTCAAACGTAATAGAGAAAAACAACTATAACTACAAAATACACAAACAACTATCACTACTCAAAACCTAATCTACAAAAACTGCTCGAAAATATCTCCACCATGTTGAATACACAGCAGTAGTCTTTGGATAAATGACCGTTGCACATCCCTCAGCATGTGCATGTATTATGTTCAGAAAATCATCCTTAATCCTTTCCTTTCCTATGCTGTTAAAAGTTGCTTCATCGCTAAAAGAACCTCATCCAGGAAAGCAGTGTCTTGAGTCACTTTATTTAGCATTATTCTACTAAACTCCATTCGAGCTACGAAATCCTGAGGACGAAGGCCTTGATGCAAGCATAGGTGATATGGATGGTACCTATGCTTGTGAAAAATCCTTTGGACAGAAGTTCTGCAAATATCAGTTTGTGCTCCGAATTGCGGTGCACTTAAATGGGGATTTTCCTGCAACTTTAATAAAATCTCCTGCTGATTCGCCTCGCTGGTGACGCTTGGATTATTTATACATTTTTTACTATATTCCACTGCTCCACTTGATTCAAAACGTTCCTCGCAGTGTGGAAAATGTTTCTGGCCTTGGATGTCGCATATTAGGGTACCGTTGCTTATAAATGGAAGATGCTAGGAAAGTATTTCTTTGGGCCTCCCCCAAAGCGAACACCATATTCACCATTTATTCTTTAGATAAATTCATTTTCAAACACGTTTTTATTATAATGCTCACAAAGCTAATTTCGACAGCTTGTAACAATCAAAGTTCCATAAAAGACGTGCTAATAACCGAGCCGTAAAAACCCTTGTGTCTAGTATCAAAAAAAACTTAGAAAAAATTGAATTCAAACTTGCACAAATATATAGGGTGATGCATTTGAAATTTTTGAGAAAAACTACAATTTGCGTTTTTGACCACCCTGTATGAGCAAAAATTAAAATTCGAAAAAGTAACAAATAAGATAAAAGCTGAGGTGTGTAAGTTTTTTTTTTGATACAAAATTCAGCACTCCAGATTTCAAAATGGCGGACTGAGGGGTTGCCGAAGTGGGGGATTTTTCTAGACAAAACACCTTATATCTCAGTAGCTAATTACCAAAACCCAAAAGTATGTCATATAAATTTTCTTTTTTTGAATTGATTCATCCAAATATGCAATAAGATTTGAGGCATTCCATTTGAACAATCACAACTTTGATATGTAGGTCGAAATTGGGACACCCTGTATAATAACCAGTATTTTAGAAATGTGCCCTCAAATGTCACGTATAACATCCCATAAATAGATTTTACATCCACACACGGATGGGCCACCCTGTATACATCTGCGCAAAAAAAACAACATGACATCCATAAGAAAAAATAAAGTTGGTGCTGGAGGACAAGAGACTAAACGTCATATTGAAATTCTAATTATGCCTTCTTGTAGAGGAGAAAAAGTGACAATGTTGATGTGTAATTTATTTTGAAATCAGGAAAGTCAGGAAAAAATTAAAACAATTTTGGAAAAATTCGATTCTTTCCGTCTCCCTCCGGAAGTACTTTGGATTTCGAAACTTTCTAAGTGGCATTTTGTTGATTACCTACTCGTAAATAGCCAACTTTGCTCTCATTTATGCGACCTCGTATCTCTTACAGTTTCCAAGATCCCAATGGTGAGGGTAACGAATTTGGAACACGCTGTATATAAAACTTGTTTCCGTTTGGTGGAGCTTGTGCTAAAGCCGCAAATTTTGTGTTCGGGGTCAAATGATAAAATGGGTTTTTAGAGCTAAGCCAGGAGGTTTGTGAAGTATTTCTTGATTTATTATGATTCCCCCTAAACTAATATGGGAATCAGGGCCCACCTTACACAAATCGTATAATTTTTCTTTAGTTTGAGAGATATTTTATATGAGATCGGCTATATTCATTAGATCTATTACCTCAAACAGCCTTCCCATTCGTTGAGTTTGTGTCCTATGCGAATTTTGTGCCCCGGATTAGTGAAATCGGGCCTTAGGGGCATGCATTTTAGTAGGCGAGCCCCCGTAGGACATTATTTTATAGGAAGTTTTTTAATATTATTTGTGTGTTTTTTGTTCTACAGGGTGGCCTAACGAAAAGGTCGCACCCCCATCTGTGACTCTCCTGGTATATTTTGGGAAAAATACTAGGTTACGTCAATTTTGATTTCTAGTGGGACGTCTTTCCATCTATAGCCGTACAATACAGGGTGTTCCAAAAATAAAAGCTGCAAGCAAGCTGAAAGAAAAAATGGAGGGGTTTCCATTTAAAAACCTAAAGTTTAACGCAATCTTATTTTTGGATCACCCTGTATTGTACGACTATAAATAAAAAGACGTCCTCTAGAAATCAAAATTGACTTGTCCGAGCGTTTTCCCCTAAATGTACTAGGAGAGTCACAAATAGGGGTGAGATCTTTTCGTTGGGCCACTCTATCTATGTTTAGATTGACATGTTATTCTGGGATACTCTGTATATGAATATTGTTCACTTTTAGGAGTATTTTGGTAAATCCTGTTAATGATATGGATATTCTGAAGGCACGCTTAGAATTTATAAGTTTTGTGCTGGAACCAGTTAACAAGGAATATATCGAAGCCTTGCAAGACAATATCAAACAAATCGGTTACGATGTTGAGGTAATTCTTAATCTATCGATCACTAGTAGGAGAGTTGACATGTGTGAAAAGAGGTTTCACTTCCCACGTGACTGACGTATTGTAATCGTGAGAAAATTCTAAAATAGGATATTATGTATTTTCCATGGTATATTATATTACACGTACACCACGAAAATAACACTAGTTTACAAATTTTTGTTTTCAAAAATGTACCTCGACAAAAGGATATACTTAGACTAATATGAGGTCGCTGAAAACGAAAATGATATGTAGATGACAAAAATATCTTCAAGCTTACATAATTTGTGTTGAATGAATGAATGAATCGTGAAATTAGAGGCATTCTGGTCACCATAAGGAGCCTGTGCATAGGCCGCTTAAACGGGCCCTTATGCGCCTCTACATTCCTTAGATCACAAACCTCACCCTTTTAACAAAGTTGATTATCGCCTTTGGTCCAAGCTCCTTGACGTCCTGAGGGTCCAAAGTAATGGACCCCAGTATAGTCTGCCTGTAGTAGCTCAGAGCTTCACAGCGACACAAAACGTGCGCCGAGGTCTCTTCCTCTACCTCGCATCATTCACACAAGGGATCCTCAGCCACCCCCATCTCGTGCTGGTGGCACCTTAGCCTGAGCCCTCTTCGGTGACCGAGTCGTCGGTATATCAGACCTGCCCGCTCACTCCGCCGTCCCACTCCTCCCTCGTTGGATACTCCACAATAAACTTGCGGTTGAAGCGATATTTAGGGGTAATACGATCACCCCTGCTTAGAAGGACGGGGTCCTCCCTTTGCAATTCGACTAAGATGGCAGTATGCCCCTTGACTGTATTCAACCGCGGATCACCAGATCCAACGGTGGGAGATCCAACAGAGCTTCCATTGCACTCAATGGCGATGTTCGCACTGCGCTTGTAATGCTAATACAGGCCAAACGCTGAATTTTATTGAGTTTGGCCTTAGTTGTCTCAGCTCTAATGCAAGGCCACCAGACCAGGGAGCCGTACAAGAGAGATGGACGTACTATCGTCGTGTAGAGCCAGTATACCACTTTGGGTTTAAGCCCCCTCCTTACACCGACAACTCGTCTATAGGCCCACATTGAATTGCGAGCCTTGCTAAGCTTGTATTCAACGTGCTCTCTCCAGTTTAGTTTACAATCCAGGATAATTACCTGATATTTCACTGATTGGGATAGAATTAATCTAGTACCAAAGAAGGTCGGCATGACCAGCCCGTCAAGCCTTCTTCTAGAGATTAGGATCAACTCGGTCTTTCCAGCATTAACAGAAAGATCGACTTCCCTGCACAGCGATTTCACAGAGCGCAGAGCGCCCTGCATAATTTCAGAGACTGTTCTACAAGAACGTCCCCTAACTTCTATGCTTAAGTCATCAGCATAGGCTTGCACGTAGACACCCACACTGCTGAGCCTAACGAGGAGTTCATTCACCCCGATGCACCACAGTAGGGGTGACAGAACTCCGCCCTGAGGGCAGCCTCTAGCTACGCTGACTCTGCAGCTTACGTCATTCAGCATAGCTCCGACCCTCCAGAGTAGATAGGACCCAATCTATTAGGATTGATCCAACCCCGTACCTAACCAAGGCATGTCTGATATATAATGCACCTTCAATGTCCAAAAAGGCCACGGGTGCCACTTCTCGCTGATCTAGAGTCTTCTCCAGCCTACCGACCAGATTGTGTAAGGCCAGATCAGTCGATCTTCCAGCTTGGTATGCAAACTAATTTGCATGCATGACACATCTTTCCAGCGGGCCATTCCTTAAGTATCTATCAACTATCCTTTCCAATGTCTTGAGCACAAAAGATGAAAGAGTAATCGAACGAAAATCCTTCGGGCCAGTACTCGTATATCTAGCTCTGCACAGTTTAGGAATGAATACCACTTTAGCCTGCCGCCAGCTTCTAGGTATGAACCCCGGGGACACACATGCTCGAAACACCTTCAACAGGTGAGGAACAATCGAACTTTGTCCTTGCTGTAACATGGCCGGAAATACGCCATCCAGACCTGGACTTTTGTATGGAGCAAACGAATCTATCGCCCATACCGTCTTTTCGAAGGTGACAATCTCCCTAGCCGTGCGCCAGTCCTCCCCTGAGGGCCTGCGCAACTGCATGCACTCTATGATTGATCGCGCTACTGTGGAACCGGGGAAGTGCGTATCCATCAGAAGCCTCAGAGTACCTTCCTCAGAAGTAGTATTCCCTCCCGAGGGATAATACAAAGATACCAATCTTGCTTTAATGTCTTTGGTTAGGACCCTGTGTATTCTAGCAGTAGCAGGAATGTCATTTATGGACTGACAGAAGTTCCTCCAGGATTCTCTGGAGGCCCTTCTAATCTCCTGTTTGAATTAATGCAACGCCTTCTTGTAGTCTTCCCATATAGGAGAAGTTCTCCTGTGCTTAACTCTGCTAAGAAGTTTGTGCACCGCTCGTTATGTTAGTATACAAACATTTTTTGCCCCGAAAAAAGTCATTAAACTGATAATTTACAGAAAAGGTTCAAATATGAATGTTTTTTTCAACTTTCAATGGCTATTTTGCGAGCAATACGAATTTAATTGACACAACTCATATATTGCCGTGAAGGGAATATGTGTGGCTTTTAAAAGTTCCTCACGTCCAAAAAATGATGCCTATCGTTTTCGAAATTTTAGGTACTAACTGCCCTATGGCACAATTTTGCAAAAATCTCGTAAAAGGTTTTTAGGCAAAATAAATGAGAGTCATTTTTGTTTTCAGCGACCTCCAGTTAGTCTAAAAAAGACCTTTTTGTCGAGGTACATTTTTCGCCTAAACTAGTGTAATAATAACCTTTGTACTCTGGTAGGGTCAAAATATCCTACGTTCTACGCCACTGCACTGGTGTAGTTTGAGTCACGACAATTTCTAGCATGTTTTAGACTTTGTTACATGTTGAAAATTTCAAGTAAATACCCTTATCCACTTCAGAGATAATTCTTTCTCATATTTCGATTATAACCAACACCTCAGAAATGTACAGGATGGCCAACTAAGAATGCGAGGTATCGTACCTGGGGACCTATCCATCGTAGAGGCTTGCGTCAAGAAAAGTTCTTTCTAAAACGGCTAAGAGAAAAGCCTGGGAAATAAAATTTCAATTTTCTGAAATGGTCGCTAGGGGGTATAACTGCGATCTTGAGTCTAAAAAAGTGATATTTTTGTGAATTCCGATATATTAACCTAAAAAATACCTGATCTTTAAATTTGAGGATCGTCTGAACCTTTTTTGTCTGACAATTTTCGCTGTATCTCTAAAATAAAGTGGTGGGGGGTGTTTAAATGTTTTCCTAAAAAACACCCTGTATATTCGAAACGGCTGAGTCGATTTTAAGAAAATTGGGCTAGTTGAAAAGAGCTATTCTTGGGCTACAAATGTTATGTTACGAGCCCCTTCCCACTTCAGTTGACCCACTTCAAGATTTGTACCAAAATATGCCTTTATAAACTAAACATGACGAAACTATTTACTTCTAAAACAATTTATTTTCTCAAAAACATTTTAGATACACTCTAGTCGTAAAAAATAGATATTTTAAATCACAACAAAGCAACAATTGAAATATTACCATTGGGTAACATCACCTTTATTTTTTATTACGGCTGAAATTTTTTTTTTTTTTATATTCCAACTACCACGAAGGCCTAAGGCCTAAGCACCCATTGGGTACCGTGGGGCTATGGGGATACATGGGAAAGGGGGGACGCCACACGGACTCTGGCGAGGGAACACGTGTGCATGCAACATGCACACATTCTGGCTCCGCCTACGAGAACCGCCGGGTGGTACCTCCACGTTCGACAGTCAGAGACCATCTACCACCTACGGGTTCTTTGGGGCATAGTGTTAACCAAGTTTTGGCACAAATTTGGTGTAAAACAATCCCATATTTCTTGAAGCTTTTGTCTCAGTTCGGTGATTGTGCGAGCAGGATGTTGTCGTAGAACCTTTTTCATCTCGTGCCACAAAGTTTCAATAGGTGACAGATCTGGACTGCTAGAAACCCATTTCAAAAGTGGTACATTATTTTCTTCCATCCATTTTATAGCCAAAATCTTGGCCGGATGTCAAACATTCTACCATCACTGGTATAGCGATTCTTCTAAAATTGCCAAATATTTGTTTCTATCCACATTTCCATCAATAAAATGAAGTTTTCCTACTCCTTTTGATGATATACTGCCCCAGACCATAATGGATGCTGGAAATTTGACTTTTCTCTTCAAACAGTCAACATGGAATGCTTCATTTTTTTGCGAATAACTCTACTGCGACTGTCACCAACACAAACTTCGAATCGGGCCTCATCACTCCATTGTATTGCACACCATTGTTGAGGTGTCCATTGTCTATGCTGTTTAGCCATCTAAGCCGATTTTTCTTTTGCAGTGGAGTTAATAGTGGCTTTTCTTTGGCCTATAAACAAGTTGTGCAACTTTAAGGTTTTTACTTCACTTTTTTTTACAAGAAAACTTACCTTGCAAGTGCTAAATCCCAGTTTGTGGGCCTCTCTATGAGTTGTGGACCTCGAAATTCTCCTTCCAACAGCGTCACTCCACAGACCACTTAATTGTAAACAATTGGCACGCCTGTTTTTCACGATTATTCTTCTTAATGCTCTTCGGTCGGCATTTGTGATATTACTTTTTTTCACATATCGTGGCTTAATATTAACTGAACCGGTTACGTTATATCTTCTAACAATATTTCTCACACTGTACCGCGATAAGTCTAACAAAGTTGCAATTTCTGAGTTTGATTTCATAGAATTAAAAACTTTAATTATCAGTAACTGAATTTTCTCACTAATAACCTTTCCTCTACCCATTTTGGAAACCTTAACTACCCAAAACTATTATAAACGTATTCTGACAGCTGTGATTAATAAAAACAATTGTCATGGCTTTTATTTTTCACAGCCACCTATGCGTTATAGACTTATTTTGCATTGAAATGAAAATAAGTTGATATGCTGTAATTGCAACATGTGTTATTTTTATGCTGCAAATTTGATTAGGGAGTGATAAAGTTGGTGTTTTCTACTATATATTTTCAAAATATTAATTATTAATATTTTAAACCTATAACACCCTGCTACATTTTAATTATTTGTGTTTGATAAGAAAAAACTAAGATTTCAATAGTTGGGCCAACTGAAGTGGGAAGGGGCTCGTATTTCAAGTTTTGCTAGTTTCACATATGGACACTAGAGATGGTTCGTTGCACATTTTGTAGTTCGAAAGCAACTCCTTCATTAGTTTGTCCCTCATACCTAGAATAATAGGACTTGTCACGCCTTTTTAAAAGCAAGAGGAAATGATGGTGTGATCCCTCTTTCCTTTTTCGAAATTAATTAATGAACTAATAAATAAAACACTACAGGGTGCGCCATCTTTTATGTCGGTAAGTAAACACGTAATAACTTTGGCAACGAAAAACTGATTTCTAAATATCGGGTATTTGTATTAAATATGGTTACAATTTATTCGGAACTTGTTTTGTTTGACCACCCACACAAAAGACATTAATCTAATAGCAATATCGTAAACTAATTAATAGTACACAGTCGAATAAAACAAGATATTAAAAAAAACAATATATTACCTCAGCAAACAACACAAATGCTCCAACACTGGAGTGCAAGTTAAAAGGAAGGGTATTATTAAAAAAACTATCGCACAATAAAATTATTTGACCGTGATAAATAACCCCGCGAAACGTTTACCATGGTACTCGCTTTACAGATATTTTAGCGCCTAAACTAAACTTATCTGGGTTGAGGTCTTTTCCTATTTACGGCTAGGCGCAGCCGAGGTGTCCTCAGCTCACAAGTGTTCAGGTCAAGAAGAAGAAAAAACGGTGGCCAGTAGTGGGCACGTCACAAGGTCACAATTTACGGTATGACCATAAAAAACCCTAGAGAGAGAAATACTGCTTAAAAATCTATTCTCTACTCTCTGTCTGAGACAAAACTGCTCATTGAAAACACTCAAACTTGGAGAAAAATCATGTACATTTTTTTTACAAGAAAAGTAAAGCAAAGGTAAAAAAATATAAAAATATACTGAAGTGGTATACCCTCAGAAATGTATCCCTTGTTCTAAAATAAAGTTATGGCAGCTCAAAAGTCAAAATCATGATCAACGTAATGTAATGCCCAATAGAAGGTGCCACGTAGGCACTGCCCCATATTTAAACGCGCATAATGTCAAACAAAATGAAGAACACTCTAAGAATTTCAGTCATCAATAATCAATATATAAATAATATCTATAAAATAATTAAAATAATATTTTACCTGTTCACATCAGGGTTTTTTTTGCTAAGGGGAAGGGGTGGCTTCTGGCAATATCAGTTGCAAAACAGCTGCAAGCAAAGCTGGAGGAGTGTGTGGTGGTTCTCTGCAATGCCTTTCCACTAAAAGGAAGCAGATATTGAACAAACTTCTTCAGGACATGCATTAATGCACGTGGTCCGATGGTATAAGAAAAAAAAAACTTACCGCTGTAGATTTAAATCCCATAAGAAAATGGACGGGGTAGCACCCAAACCAAAACAACTAAACGTAAGGTACTATATGAAGGGGTACTACTCCACAAACTGGTGTTCGGCTCCTAATATGCCAGATTCATGGAGGTAAACAAATGGCGCTCACACCACAATCTCAAGAGGAAAGTGACTTGACACGAAACACCTAACTTTATAGAATAAGATATGTTCGATAGAAAGCCAAGTAACGGAGAAAAACCACAGAATACTGAATCATTGAGAAAGAAAGATATAATACGTGTGAAATTATATAATCAATAAACTATGAAATTTGCCAAAAGAAAATCATTGAAAAGAGCTTGGCCTAGGACGTGGTTCCCAATTCTAAAAAACACAGCGCAAAAGCCACGTCACTCAAGAGGCCCATAGTACCCCCACCAAACAACTCAGTCATCAGTCCGCCGATCGCCTATAAAACCGCACGCTCATCCAGTTAACCGATCAGTTTCAGTCGACCCGCGAAGCCAACGACTTCGACCAAATCCAACCCGACCACGGCTCAACAGCCCGAAAAACCAAAAATTACATTAGAATTAGCCGTGAAAGCCTTCATTCTTCAATTAGACAACACTATACAAAGTTTTCTATTCTAGGCCTGTATTTGTGACTTTTTACATAAATGGAGATATCTCAAAAGCGTTTACACTTAGGTTATAGCAAATGTGTTTAGAACCTTGCATAAAACCCAAAAATTGAATATACACGTATTTCATAAAAATATGAGGTTTGTTATCTATTGGCGGGCCACTGAAACTGGCATCATTCTGAAAATGTTTAAGATTAATTGCTCCTATTATACCATACTTCTACTTAGCACATTGTACTATTATCGAAGTAACTTGACCATTTTTTTGCATGTTAGACAATACTGCAGAAAATTGCGAATTCAAGAGCGAAATCAGTGCATTGGCAAGCTTTATACAAGGTATGTATTTATGCTGTAATTTTCATAAAAAAGTTTCATTTCAGGTGTATGTCAGTGTAATTACGTAAAATCTTTGTGGTGGACAGTTGCTTAGCAACATGGAAAACTTTACCCAAATTCAAATCTAGATATTTTCGGAACGGAAAGAGATATCGAGTTGCGGTATTCGGGAGGTTCTTGACTCTCTTCGAGCACACGTACAGGGTATGACCGGTATATATCTTTTATTAATTCACTTACACAGGGTGAGCAAAGGTAGTCAGGTTTTTTAGCAAAGCTTGGGGCTGTCAGATTCTCAATTTTTATCTTAGAAATTTTTTTACGCATCTTTTTGATCTTTGGACTATCCTAAAAGAAGTAATTTCTCATATTTTTGTTGTTGGCTATAATTCAAATTATCGGATTTTAAAAAAGTGTTACATTTATGCATAAAAAAGGGACTTTTGGGGTTTCTCTTGAGAATGGGTATTTTTTTCATATTGAGGAATTTTTTGCACCTGAGAAAAGAATTAAGCACTCACTGAACGTTATTGCCTCCAGTGGCGCCCAGTAAAAGTTTGCTGCTTTGACATTATGTAATTTAAATCGAATTAATAAATTTTACTATGCAATTAAACAGCTTAATGAACAAATCCAAGTTACTCTTAATATAGGGGTGTATTCCAGTGGCGTAACACCAAAAGCATTTTTTGGTTTGGTAAGAATATAATAACTAGTATATACATATACAGGGTGTCCCAGAAGTCGACGTCAAGCCGAAACCGGGTGATAGGCAAAGTCATAACAGCTATCAGAAAAATATTCAAAAAAATTTTATGTATGTGTTTTGAAAATTATAGGCCTTTGAAAAAAATATAGAAATTTCACACCCTACGGCAGTCTGTCAACTCCTGTTACTACAAATATTAACTTTTTTTGGATTTTATTTTTACAATGTAATGATGAATAATGCATCTTCAAACTGGTGTCTCAACCTTACTGCCAACTTTTCTCGTTCAGGAAAAATTGCCACTTATTTCCCAACCAAGTATTCCAAAGTAAAACTTTGATCAACTTTAACTGGCTGTACTGGAAAAAAATGTACTACGAGAGTTTGGCAAGTAACCTTAAAAGTTGGCGTATTTAATAACGATTCCAAAATGGTATAACACTTAGAAGATTACTCGTTAACTTATGCACAATTTTTATTTGAAAAATCTCAATATCGCTTCAAGATAAACCATTGGACAGGAATTTTAAATGGTAAAATAATCGGTCCGTTTGAGTTCCCAGAGACTTTGACTGCTGAAGTTTATTTGGATTTTTTGAAAAATCATGTACAAAATTTATTGGTGGACATGCCTCTGAGTATTTACAGGGACATGTGGTTTCAGCATGATGGCTGCCCAGCGCACTATGCACTCTCAGTGAGAGAGTATCTCGATCAAAACTTTCCAGGCAGATGGATAAGGCGGTCTGGTACAATACCATGGCCAGCCCGATCACCTGATTTGAATCCTTTAGATTTTTTTACTGGGGAACTGTAAAAGAAAAAGTGTATGTCAAGCCGATTCAAAATGTAGCTGAGCTACGGCAAAGACTATTGGAAGCAGTTGAGTTTGTTAATAACCGTGGATTCGCTCGTTCAGTAACCCGATCTTTTTTAAGAAGATGTCGAGCGTGTATTGCGGCTGAAGGAAAACAGTTTGAGCATTTGCTGTAAAGGTAAATCATCATCAGCAGCATTTTGACGCTCACTGTTGTGCAAACAGTTATCCTTAAGGGTCCTTGTGCGTTTTCATAATCGCTGTTTAATTAGGAAATTTTGAAAAATTTTCATCAGTTTTTCTTCAAATAAATATTGTGCATAAGTTAACGAGTAATCTTCTAAGTGTTATACCATTTTGGAATCCTTATTAAATGCGCCAACTTTTAAGGTTACTTGCCAAACTCTCGTAGTACATTTTTTTCCAGTACAGAAAGTTAAAGTTGAGCAAAGTTTTACTTTGGAATACTTGGTTGGGAAATAAGTGGCAATTTTTCCTGAACGAGAAAAGGTGGCAGTAAGGTTGAGACACCAGTTTGAAGATGCATTATTCATCATTACATTGTAAAAATAAAATCCAAAAAAAGTTAATATTTGTAGTAACAGGAGTTGACAGACTGCCGTAGGGTGTGAAATTTCTATATTTTTTTCAAAGACCTATAATTTTCAAAACACATACATAAAATTTTTTTAAATATTTTTCTGATAGCTGTTATGACTTTGCCTATTACCCGGTTTCGGCTTGACGTCGACTTCTGGGACACCCTGTGTAATATAATGACTTGAGAATTTTTATTTTTCAAAATGCTACTATTTATCTTTTATCTGGAATGTTTTATCTCTCTCATTCAGCAATGGCGTACGCGTCTTCACTGGGGATATTCCAATATCACAATAAATAATAGATTCTTTTAAATTTTTGAGCAACATCAAAGAATTTACTGATTAACATTAACAATATGTAACATTTTAGAAAACAAAAATTTGGGCACCTGTTAAATACTTACCCAAATTATTAATTTATGACGAAATCGAACTTTATAGAAAACAGCAACAGTTATTTTAAACAATATCGTTTGTACCTTGTAGGCATACTTCGTGGCATACTTTCCAGAAGGTCATTAATAAATTCTTGGGATTCGTTTTCCCACTCTTCCTGAACGGCCTCAGACAAATGTTTCATTGTTTGAAGAGCATTTTGTTTTGACCGCACTAAAAATTTTAGCCGAGACCGCACATGCTCAATTATATTTAAGTCTGAAGGCAGAGGCAATAGTGTAACATTATTTTCAGCCAAAATGTTTATAACCGTACGAGCCCTGTGCGGCCTGGCGTTATCATCAATAAAAACAAAATCCTTCCCAAAATCTTGTGCAAAAGGTAGAACAATATTGTTTAACATGTCCTTATAAACTGCAGCACGAATGTCTTGTTTAATACAAAAGGTTCTGTTTTACCATTGTGCATAACCCCAGCCCAAATAGTAATGCCGCCTCCACCAAGCGGCTTTTGTGGAACCATGTTTTCTTAATCATATCGTATCCCAGCTTGCCTCTAAACGCGTGTTTCATCGGAAAACATGCAATTTTGCCACTGCTGATGCCAATTCCTCTGCTGATGTGCCCATTGGTATCTGGCGAATCTATGATTGTTCAAAAGTTGAATACCGGTGTGAAGTTAGCAGCCAAGATCCAGCAGACAGTTTCCCGAAGTTATCCGAACGAACAGTGGCGTCAGTCACCCATTCATCAAGGACACCCATTCCCTAAGGGGAAATCGATTTTTTATTATCTGGTTTTTGGCTGCGACCCCTTTAGAAGTTCGCTCAGTAAATTTGATCTGGCCCATAAATTGTCTTAATATGTGAGCAATTTTTCGGGATACATTTCATCGAAGAGACACACATCCCCTAAGGGTTGAAAACAATTTTTCTATTATCTGGTTTTTGGCTGCTACTCATTTATAAGTTCGATCAGTAAATTTGATATGGCCCATGAATTGTCTTAATACGTGAGTAATTTTTCGAGGTACATTACATTGAGGACACCCATTCCCTAAGTGTTGATATCGATTTTTTATTATCTGGTTTTTGGCTGCTACCCCTTTAGAAGTTCGCTCAGTAAATTTGATCTGGCCCATAAATTGTCTTAATATGTGAGAAATTTTTCGGGATACATTTCATCGAAGAGACACACATCCCCTAAGGGTTGAAAACAATTTTTCTATTATCTGGTTTTTGGTTGCTACTCATTTATAAGTTCGATCAGTAAATTTGATATGGCCCATGAATTGTCTTAATACGTGAGTAATTTTTCGAGGTACATTACATTGAGGACACCCATTCCCTAAGGGTTGATATCGATTTTTTATTATCTGGTTTTTGGCTGCTACCCCTTTAGAAGTTCGCTCAGTAAATTTGATCCGGCTCATAAATGTCTCAATATATAAGTAATTTTTTGAGATACATTTCATTCCCTAAGGATTGAAATCGATGTTTTTAATATCTGGCTTTTGGCTGCTACCCTTTTAGAAGTTCGCTCAGTAAATTTGATCTGGCCCATAAATTGTCTTAATATGTGAGAAATTTTTCGGGATACATTTCATCGAAGAGACACACATCCCCTAAGGGTTGAAAACAATTTTCCTATTATCTGGTTTTTGGCTGCTACTCATTTATAAGTTCGATCAGTAAATTTGATATGGCCCATGAATTGTCTTAATACGTGAGTAATTTTTCGAGGTACATTACATTGAGGACACCCATTCCCTAAGGGTTGATATCGATTTTTTATTATCTGGTTTTTGGCTGCTACCCCTTTAGAAGTTCGCTCAGTAAATTTGATCCGGCTCATAAATGTCTCAATATATAAGTAATTTTTTGAGATACATTTCATTCCCTAAGGATTGAAATCGATGTTTTTAATATCTGGCTTTTGGCTGCTACCCTTTTAGAAGTTCGCTCAGTAAATTTGATCTGGCCCATAAATTGTCTTAATATGTGAGAAATTTTTCGGGATACATTTCATCGAAGAGACACACATCCCCTAAGGGTTGAAAACAATTTTTCTATTATCTGGTTTTTGGCTGCTACTCATTTATAAGTTCGATCAGTAAATTTGATATGGCCCATGAATTGTCTTAATACGTGAGTAATTTTTCGAGGTACAATTACATTGAGGACACCCGTTCCCTAAGGGTTGAAATCTATTTTTTATTTATCTGGTTTTTGGCTGATACCCCTAGAAGATCTCTCAGCTACTTTATTCTGGCCGTAATTGTGACCCTAACTAGTGGTATAAGAGCATATGATTCCTTCTGACTGACGCCTCTGTTCGTTCGGGTAACTTCGGGAAATTGTCTGCTGGAATTTGGCTGCTAACACCGGTAAGTTGAATACACTTGGCGCGACGCGTACCTAGCAAAATTTTGATAACATTTCACGCCTCACTTCCTGCAGTAAATGTCTTTCGACCCGACCTCGTATTTTTTGGATTACCTCCTCCATGCAAGTAGGACATCTCCCCGGGAACTTTAAACGGTATATTGAGGACCGATCAACACTATAAATTAAAGCTACATCATTCACCAAACGACCTTTTCCCAATAACCTTATACAATTCTCTCGTTCTTTTTGGAAAAGACGAGGCATTTTTGAGAAAATAAAATTATACTGTTGTCTACAGTCAAAATTATTACTTAGCAATTGCATGTTTGAGGTGTAGATAGTTAGGATGAAACTGGAGAAACGTCCTATTTGCGTGGAGAGGGCAATCCGAAAAAAATACGAGGTTGAGCCGAAAGACATTTTTTTATCGCGGAAAGTTGAAAATTTGATAATTTGAGTAATCGCCAACTTTCGAAAAATTTTAGATATAATTTTTCTAGGACCGTCCAAAGATCTGAAAGATGCACAGAAAAATTTCCAATTGAGAATCTGACAGCCCCAAACTTTGCTGAAAAAACTGACTTCCTTTGCTCACCCTGTATAAGTGGATAAATAAAAGAAATATACCGGTCGAACCCCGTACGTGTTCTCGAATAGTTGGCCAACAACCTCCCGAACACCGCAATCCGATATCTCTTTCCGTTCCGAAAATATCCAGATTTTAATTTGGGTAAAATTTTCCATGTTGCACCACCAGTTTATATTTTACTTGTTCATCATTTTTTCTTGTTCTAGTGTATTTATCATTCACTTTTCATTAACGAAATAAGCAGCCCCAACATACACAAATCGAATATATTGCAAGAATTGCACAATTCCATATCTCCAGAATTGGTAGGCTTAGAAAATTCAATTGCAAATGGACTGGATTTCGATGCTGCTCAAAAATATGGAAGGCCCGTGATCAAATGCGGTTTGGACGAAATACTAGATGCCAGTACGTAACGATGCCTATACAGGGTATAATTTAAGTGATGGCTAAAAATACAGGATATGATTACTTAGCTCATTTTAAGAAGAAAAAAATCATTTTCTCATGATAACTTTAATACAGGCCTGGATATATTCATCAAATTTAACATGCACATACTAAGCACCAATAGACATTTTTTGATGTAGACATAATTTTTAATATTTCTACCAGTGGCGTCCTATACTGGAGATATATCAACAAAATATGGCACGCCATTGCTTTTCCGAAAATAATCAGTTTGCCCTCTTGACTTTTTTTGTCCGATGCACCATTTTTGCATAAAAAAATAAAAGTAATTTTCATGCATTTGTGGTATAACGAAATTATTTTGAACTATTAGGCTTGTGCCCTATTTTGTTTTTAAAATAGTCACAATTGATCGATTACGTTGCGGTCTTATTTTGACAAGTATTCATAATTTGGATCTAGTTTCATATTTTGCTGTCAGATTGTGCTATCGTAGTCCTACTTAATGTAATGTAAGTGATGCGTGTAAGCCCCGGCTGCAACGAAAAGGATGTAGTTAGTCGTTATTTGATTTTGTCGCACTTCTGAAGGAAAATTCTGGAAAGTTTATGTGTACACATTGCATAAAATATTACCAAGATATATAGTAAAATACAAAATTGATGACAGTAGCGAAACTCATCGTACGCCACTGCTACTACGCGGAGGCCTTCGAAAATGCGGGTCTTCTTTGTGAAATGTCGGTAAACTTCGCTGTAATCAAAAGGTACAGCGTCAAAGCAGTGGCGCACGATGACTTCTTCTACTGTCATCAATTCTGGTATTTGACCAGCCGATATATAGCTGGCATATGATCGTTAAGATGCTCCATACGTCTTTAGAGATTTTTAGTGGATTGAGTTTAAATACTGTAAATTAAATTATCTATAATATATGATTTTGTGCGCTTATTGATATTCAATTGTTTTCATTTTTTTTAAATCTTGTTTATTTATGTATACAGTTATATGTGTATATAAGTTGATCAATCTTATTAAACTGAACAACAAAGACGCAAAACCATGCCACTCTGTTTTGTCGGTCCGTCTCTGTCGGTCTGTCCGCTAATCCTTGGACCGCCTATCACTTGGAAAGTACTGCTCGGATTTGGATAAACTTTCCACACAAGGTTACTACTATGCTAGGATGAAAAAGGGTGGCAGTACAAGTCCGCCAACGGGTCACTTTAGGTCCATTTAACATCATTAACACGCAAAAAGAAGGTGGTAGACAAGGATCAGTCAACCGAGGCCGTACCACCCGCTAGCTTTCCCCAGGGTGTCTTATAAATGTCCGCATGTTTCAACACCTAAGCTACGCAATTGGTTATCTTCCCCAAAACAGAAATTAATGATGATTGATCCTTCGAGTACTAAGAATTCCGGGCGTAAACTCACTCCACTCTCGGAATGTCCGGCTGGAGGGTGGTCTCGAGGGGACAACAGCGAAAATAAAATTTGTTTCACGAACATCTGCGGAATTAACAGCGACATTAATGCTGTTCATCACTACCTGCAATCCAATCGTCCCGCCATGCTGTTTTTGGCTTAGACAAAAATCTCAGAGTCTGCACCGATTAATCGTCTCAGCTTCCCAAATTACTAGGTGCACTCCAATCTGAGAAAAAATGGAGGGGTTGTGGCTTTTGTCCGCAGCAGTCTTTCCTGCTCCAGACACGTTTCTTTGAAATCGGAGCGGAAGGACATTCTGTGGCTGCGCCTCAACTCCAAAACATCCCTCAAATCCATTTCGGACTATAACTGGGATGACCTACTTGAATACCTCGCAGTCAAGATCGACCTCCTGAACATCAATTACCCCGATTCAGAGGTAGTTCTCGGTGATTTCAATGCCCATAATGGCCTTTGGTTGTGATCAAATAAGACCGTGCAGTTGAAGCGATCGCTATTATCCAAGAACTGACCCAGCTGGTGAGGAGCCCTACTTTTTTCCCCACGTACAACACTGCTTTCCTGTCCCCCTGGGTAACTCAGACCACGGTGTTGTGAAGGTTAGGTTTCGGTCAGAACCCGCTCTGGCATCAGAAACTCGCCTAAGCCGCAAAATTTGTTCATATAAACTTTTCTTCCTAAAATGAGCTAAGGAATGCGATTCTTGCTTCTTCGATTTTGGCCAAACTATGAGGTATTTGACGTAATTTGTTTGGTGAGTATCGTAAATTACATGCATATATCTATGTGATACTGTTTCAGAAAAACTTCGCCGACAAGATATAGCAAAAAGTGTGACTGCAGCAGCTCGATTTGCAGTGGACGATTTGCCACCATTTCTGAATAAGTGTTGTGTTGTCTACCTACCAGAAATGGGCCATTTGATATCTGTGAAAGAATGGAAGCCCAACTGTAATCCGGATGAGTTGGCACACTTGCACTTCCGTTTCATGGTTCGTACTTATTTTTTTAATTTACTTCGAACGATTAGTTTGGTACCTAGGATTGCTCTTAGGGCCGTATCGTCAGTCGTTCCTACAATTACTGTAGGACGCCTTCATGGCCTCCTTGATGTTCATATTTTTCTACTGTTCCGTGTCAGAGCTCTTCTTTGAGGTTATTTCACAAATGTCTATTTGCATCAAATTGTTCATGCTTATGATTTATACTAAGTGACATATAAATCCGAACACCCAGTTTAAATGGTTTTATTTTAATAAAAGTTGGTGAATGTATTTATCTTACTGTAAATAACAAGTGAACAAATTTTCAGCCTTATCAGTTGGACATTCCGGTTTTTATACTGCTTTTTTCTAATTCACTAACGCTCTAAAAATGAATATTGCAGTTAGAGTGCAAAGAAGTGTAGACACTGTGGTTAGGTGTTGTCAGGCATGGCTTCGAGAAGGCCGTACGCAAAGAGCAAGGGGCACTTGGCCTTAAGGGACCGTTTCTCCACTACCAGGTCCATTGCATGAATGAATGGTTTGCAGAACACGGAAGACCTATTGGCATGTGAAGTGTTTACCGACGAATGAGAAGTTTTGGCTTGTTTTCATACCGGCCACACTGGGTCCTCCATTAACTCGAGAACACCGACGTAATCGCCTTGAGTGGTGCAGACAACGGTCACTCTGGGATCAGGAATGGAACAGTATTGTCTTTAGTGACGAGTCTCGATTTTGTATAGGCATGCACGATGGTCGTGCCAGGGTTAGAAGGCGACGTGGTGAAAGGAGGAATCCACAGTTTTTTGTTGAAAGACATGTTCATCACACTGTTGGAGTTATGGTTTGGGGTGCTATAGCTTATGGTTCCAGGTCACCTTTAATCTTCATCAGAGGTAACATGAACGCGCAGCGTTATATCCACGAAGTTCTAGAACCCCATCTTTTACCCTATCTTGACACCCTGGCAGACCCAACTTTCCAACAAGATAATGCCCGACCACATGTTGCAAGAGTCACAATAGACTTCTATCAACATAATGATGTCACATTGTTACCATGGCCACCAAGATCTCCCGACTTATCCCCAATTGAGCACGTGTGGGATATGATGGGTAGGAGATTGCTCAATTTGCAACGTCCTCCTCAGACTCTAGAAGCACTTCGAGAGGAGTTGGTGGTTGCCTGGAATGAGATACCACAGGAGGACATTGACCACCTGATCAGAAGCATGCCTAGGCGCGTTGGAGAATGCGTAGCACATCAGGGTGCATCCACAAATTATTAAAGGTCAAAGGGCTTTAAAGCAGTGCAATCATTTTAAAATTTTCATCATTTACTTATTATGTTTCATTAAGTACTTATACAACATTTTATTAAAATAAAACCATTTAAACTGGGTGTTCGGATTTATATGTCACTTAGTATAGTTCTTGCAGCGTCTCCTCCACCGCCTGTCCCGATTTACCAAATTTAGCTGGAACACTCTTCTTCTCCAATTAGCAACACCGAAAGCGATTGATTCCACTCGAAATCAGCAAAATTTCAGTTTGATTCAGGATCAAAATCACCCCTAGCTTGTACTATTTTCTACTTTTTACTTCGGTTAGCTATAAAAGCGTGTTTTTTAGTTTTTTATTTATTGTTTTTCATTTTTTAGTTCGATTTATCAATTATTTTTTTGTGGAGATGTGCAGATCGCGCGCTAGCTCTATCCCTCTTACGCTCCTACAGAGAATCTATAAAAGAATTTATCAATCCTGGCGGACTTAATGAGGATAATGGAAAACTATTATCAAATTATTGGATTGTCATCGGTCCTTGATACTTTTGGAAATTGGTGAAAATTATGCTTAAAGATTCCGCTCCATACATACATATATTCCTAGTTAAGGCGAGTTAAAAAAAAACGTATACCACAATCTGCCTCCTGTGCGGATTGAACTCACGACCCCTGGTTTACAAGTCCAGCGCTCTGCCACTGAGCTACAGAGGCTTGTAGTTTCAATATTTGTAAAGCGGCATTTGAAATCCGTGGCTTTTTACAGAATTTTACTTATAAGGATAATGAAAAACTGTTCTCAAATTATTGCATCGTCATCGGTCCTTAATACGTGTGCGTAGTTTCAAATTTACATACATAGATACATACATAGAGCATACAGGCAAAGCTAATACAAAATAGAATAGAATAGTTTTTACTGGAAAACAAAAGAATTAAACGTTCCTGATAGGATAAAAGAGAAAAAACTATACTGTATATAATTTACTAAAAACTTCGTGGATAATCTAAAAATAAAAAAATGGGGTTTTCGATTTAAAAATCTAAAGTGTAAGGCAATATCTTAGTTTTGGATGACCCTGTATTGTACGGCGATAGATGAAAAGACGTCCCCTAGAAATCAAAATTGACGTGTCCGAGCGTTTTTCCCAAAATATACCAGAAACATCACAAATGTGGGTGCCACCTTTTTGTTGGGCCACCCCGTATGTTATATGTTTTAATTTTTTTATTTTTATTTTTTAGTTTTCCCTTAGAGGTACAATCCATTATAAAACGCCTTTGTGTGTAGGTAAGCAAAATTTTGTTTTGTAATTGGTGTCGCTACGATAACAATGTTTTTTAATACAATATCTAGAGCTGGACAGAAAGTTGGGAGACATCAACACTGAAATCATTGACCATGAAAACAGGATAGTGAGGAGACTGGCAGGGTTTATTCTCAAACACCGAAGGGACATTATGGAACCTATCAGAATTATAGGTTTGATCGATAGGTGAATATACATCAATAAAAATACACTAACAATATATAGTGTGCCAAGAAAATGATGATGATCCTGCAACGGCAAATTGGTCATGTTATGTCCTACTTATAGCAAAATTTTGTATTTGGAATTCGTCTTTGGGGAAATCGACAAATTATGTAAAGTGTACATTTTTATGATAGAACTCAAGCTTTCAACAGTTTAGGCTGTCATCATCAGGAGCGCGTCAGCGAGATTTGTGCTAAAATTTGATCTTAGAAAGTGTACATGAGACCACTTCTAGGTCGATCAAAAACTGGATTTATGAGGTTCTATTTGAAAAATAATTGAAAATCATTGCCATGTTGGCTAAACACCACAAACGGATTTAAAAAACGTTACCGATTAATTGAGTATTAAAACTTTTCCATTTCACATCCTGGAATAACTTAAAAAAGCTAAAGTGGTCAAAAAGTCGAAAATGATGTGACCACATTTCGATCGATCCAGTTTTTGATCGTCCTAGTATGTGATCTCAGCCACATTTTCTGAAATCAAATTTTAGCATGAATCTTGCTGACGCACTCCTGATGATGACAGCATAGACTATCGAAAGCTTGTGTTGTAAGTTAAAAGAGCAAAATTTGTCGATTTCCTGAATGACGAGTACTTTCACTTAGCTAGTTGTTACGACAATAATTATGAATCACAAATATATATACTCAATGTCAATCAGAAGTGTTACACCCAGGAAAAATAATTTCTTCAAATTCACTTTTTAACAATCAGTTAGTCTTACATCAAGAACGAAAAGATAACATTCTCATGAAATTCTATTGAAAAGTAATAAGAAAAAAAATTAATAATGTGTTGGGTGACCTCGCAGCTGAACACGTCTAGCTTCTTGAATAAAGTCCGTAGTACGACGAACAATATTGGGACGTGCATTGTCTTGCTGAAAAAGGACGTGTGGACGGCCCTCTAGATACGGAAGTTAAGTGGCTTGTTCCAAAGAGTAGGGGTGATCCCCTACCATAATTTAGTTAAGTGTTGAGTTGTAATTTATGATAACTAGTTAGAGCTTGAATAAATTGCTTCATTAAAAAATCAGATAAATATTTTGTGCCAAAACTTTCAGGACATACGTTGAAAATGACATTATGCAATTCTGCCTCCCAATGTTGCCGTTCTCTGCTCCAGTCCAAATGTTGACGATAGTGGTCCGCAGTCAGAGAAAGCACTAACAGTGGACGATATGAAAAAAGTCCAAAGGCTCGATTGCGGCGATAGAGTGTTCGCATAGTAACAGTCTACCTTCTTCTCCAAACCAGTGGTCAGCGATCTGACGCGTAGTAGCAAAACGGTCCAGTCCCGTAGGGCTAGTTGCCTGAAGCGCCTATCTTGACGCTCTGTGGTACGCCTGGGTGGACCAGTTGGCCTTCTTCGCCTTCCTCTACCTTCTTCTACCCACACACGACACACACGCATTACCGTCATTGCAGTACAATTAACACGGCGGCCAATTTAGCGATAGGACAAACCAACATCTCGATAGGCAATAATTCTACCCCTGTCAAAGTCGGTAACATGGTCATAATGTGGTCCTCTTCGAACTCCAGGCATTTTGTTATGCTTAACACTAGTAAATGAAAGGGCAATAACTAAAAATATCTGACGTTGTCACTGTTGCCACAGCATGCTTTAAATATAGTCATTATGTTGCCAAGAAAACAAGTTGAAGAAATTATTTTTTCTGGGTGTCACACTTCTTATGTTCCTAGTATATATTTACTTTTTCTAACTAGAGACAGTATTTTACGTTACAATGATTTAAGTGTTCACTCCAAAGTTTTGGGGCCGTATCATCAGCCGTTCCTATAACTGTAGGATGCCTTAATGGGCCCCTTAATTTTCATAGATTTTCTCTCCTACAGAAAGGTTGTGATATTTCTAGATCTCTGCTGTTCCTTGATAGCGTCAGCGCTCTCCTATTGTGAGGCCATTGTTTCGTTTTGAATTGTAGGAACTTTCAGGCTGATATAACAGATAATATAAATAAAAAGGATGAACAATTTGATGCAAATGGTTATTTGTAACATAACCTCAAAATATGGCGCTCACACGGAACAGTAGAAAAGTATGAAAATCAGGCCATTAAGCCGTCCTACAGTAATTGTAGGAAAGACTGACGATACGGCCCTTAGTTATTTTAACAATTTAAAGACGCGGGTAACAGCTAGTTATTTACATAAGTATAAGTAGTATAATTTGCTAGATAGTGAACGTTTGAGTCCAAGGTTTTTCACAACATGTTCAATTCGATCTTGCTGTGCTTACAGTCTAATATCAATGGCGTTAGAGGCCTTTCAGAGCAGCTATGTCAAACCGAGGTTGAACATCGATAATGTCATTGAAGTGACCGAGGGTAGGCATATTTTGATGGAACGAATTATGAGCCAGAATCAGGCTAACGATTTTTATTCTGGAGGGCAGTATTCGGACATGAAGATCATTACAGGCCCCAATGGAAGTGGCAAAAGCATGTACTTGAAGCAGGTACTAACATTATTATGACTGCATGAGATAATAATAAGCCTTTATTGGCCAACAGCTTATCGCCAATAACAGGGCATTTTATAAGATAGCGCGAAGATCCATCTATCGCACCAGAATCGAACCATTGTAGATCGCGCACCGTTGCTATTAGTCGCAACTGTCATGGATCTCAGTTCCCGTTTAATAGCAGTCGTTTTAAAGTTACGATATTAATTTTTTCAGTTTACTTGATATAGATTTTTTTCAAATAGACAGCTTTTACTAAGAGACCATTTTCTGATGAAAAAATAATTTGACTCTTATTTGATTTCCACTATTTTTCTGAATAAGTACTCGTATCTGCATTCGGTATACCTATGCACTAAGTCCTATTATTCTAGTTATCCGTGACAAACAATTGAAGGTGTTGCTTTCGAAATACAAAATGTGCAACGAACCAGAAGAAAATGCGAATAACTTTTAACATCAGTGAAGAAAAAGAAATATACTTGTTGGCCTATGTTGTAGTAACTATACAAATGAATTATATACATATCCTATCATTAGTATAACAAACAATGGAATTCAACATTGTGCCATTAAGGTTCTAAGTGTTCAAAATGTCCTTACTTTATGCTCCAGTTCTTCGCGAGTAGCTGACGTAGTTTGACGTAGTAGACGATGTTCTCTCGGTGACGTCGCTTTAACTCGGCAGAAAATCGTCGAATCTCTCAAGAAGCTAGACACCCCTAGCGATCTATTGAACATGATAAATAGCTACTTTTACGAGAGGGCATTTATGGTAGGACAAAAGACAATGAAGGTAACGATGGGAGTACCGCAGGGCTCCGTCCTAGGGCCATTGCTTTGGAACGTGCTCTACATCGGAGTTCTTCGGTTACAGATGCTGCCGGGAATTCGCTTGATAGGGTATGCTGACGACCTTGCGATGATAGCGACACTAGCAAGGAGCGAGATAGACTTGAAGGACTCTTGACATACCGAATCACGAGAAATACCATATGGATGGAAGAAATGGCTCCTGAAAAGACGGAAAGAGTTATACTTTTCGGCAGACCAAAGCTAAATTCATTAGCTGTTAGAGTTGATAATTCCGAGATTCGTAGCCAAAATGCAATTAAGTATTAGGGTGTGTGGCTTGACAAAGATCTGACAATGTTTGAACTTTTAGGCAGGGTTCGAGTCCCGTCCTAGGAGAATTTTTTCTCTTGGCTATGGATGTTGTGATTATCCGTAGGTGGTAGACGGTCTCTGACTGTCGAACGTGGAGGTACCACCCGGCGGATCTCGTAGGCGGAGCCAGAATGTGTGCATGTTGCATGCACACGTGTTCCCTCGCCAGAGTCCGTGTGGCGTTCCCCATTTCCCCTGTATCCCCCTATAGCCCCACGGTACCCAATGGGTGTTTAGGCCTTAGGCCTTCGTGGTAGTTGGAGTATAAAAAAAAAGAATTTATAAGGCGCACCACTGACACGGTAAATAAGGACGTTGCATCTCTGTTAGTTCTGATACCGCTAATGTCATCTGACGGATTCCCCAGCAGTGAGAGGCACAGGATTTTGGCAGGGGTGTCAAACTTGATTATGCTGTACGGAGCCCCTATATACAAGGTGTTTCAGTTTATTGTTGCATAACTTTAAGATTCGATAGAACTTTTAAAATTAATGCATAAAGTCTATATAAACATGGGTCGAAAAATGCGTGGCTTCCGAAATACAGGGTGTTTGAATTTACTTTTTAAAATAGTTTTTTTTTAAATATTTCGAACAATATTTGATGTATAACAGTGAAAATTGGTATACAAGGGTTTTTTGGTACAACAAAACGAACCATGGGCATAGCTTTACTGTAGCCACTAGAGGGCGCTCTCTACTGTACCTGTAGTGTATTAAAATGACCGAAATTTTTTTCTTAGTGCAATTTTTTGCTTTTTGTATAAAAAAACTGATTCTTCGCACTTTTCTGCATAAAAAAGCTCTCCTGTGAGTTTTCGTTATAGTTAGCCGTTTTTGAGATATTTCGATTTTTAAGGTTCATTTTTAATTATTTATGGGAAAATAATTTTTTTTACATTTTCGATTTGGGCATTACAAGTAATTAAGATGATCGTTTAGATTGTTTTTTTAAACACAGCAATAATTCCTAACTTCAAATAAACACAAAAAAACAAAATATTAATTTGTTTAATTTTCCAATATTATTTTTAACAAATTAAATGAATATTGGATAGTAAGGACAAACATACAAAATCTAAAGTAGTTGCTCGAAATGTAAACCCAATTGTTCAATACACAATTCACATCTACGAATGATCGAACGTGGTATAGCATTATTCAAATAAGGCCTTATTTCATCACATGCATTCCTGATTCTGTCTATTAGCATATCTCTTGTGGTTACGGGAGTAAGTACATTTTTTCTTTTAGAAATCCCCACACAAAGAAATCTAATGGATTTAGGTCAGGGGATCGTGGAGGCCAGGCAACTGGTCCTCCACGGCCGATCCATCTTTCTGGATAATTTTCGTCCAGCCAGTTTCTAACTATTCTCGAATAATGAGCTGGACAACCATCAAGCTTTAACCAGGCCAATCTTCTTAAATCTAACATAACATCATCCCACATATTTGCATGTTCAGCCTTTAAAAATTCCAAGAAGGTCGCAGCATTGAACCTTGCAGGCAAAAGGTAGGGTCCAAATAGTCGATTACGGTAGATACCAATCCACACGTTCACACTAAATTCATGCTGAAAATTTCTTTCCCGAACTGCATGCGGATTTTCATGCGACCAAATATGTTGATTATGAAAATTTACCACTCCACGTCTAGTGAAGCATGACTCATCGGTCCATAAAACGTTACTTAAAAACTCCCTATTATTATCAGTTCTATCAAGAATCCACTGACAAAATGTGATTCTTCGTTCTCCGTCCCCCGGCTGTAGTCCTTGCACAGATTGCAAATGGTAAGGAAGTCTATGGTCATTTCTAAGAACACGGTGAACATGGCTTGCTGAAATTCCCAAGGCACCAGCAACTCTCCTAACACTTGTGGTCGGATCTCTATCAAACTCACGCAGAATCATACGGGTAAATCTGCGCTGATGAACATTTATGTTTTGATCCCTTTGGAGATTTCCAAAACCATTTTCAATTATTTGGCGATGCACTCTTACAAATACTGAGCGAGTTGGATGTCGTCTGTTTGAAAATCTTCGTGCGTATTCTCTGGCTGCTTCTGCTGCGTTTCCATTTACAAAGCCATACACAAAATGAAGATCCGCTAGCTCTTGATTGGAGAATAAAAATGGCATTTTTATAAAACTTACAAAAAAAAAACAGGTAAAAGAAACTAAATTTCGTGCATTCACAATTGCAAAAAAACGTTTCAGGTTTCAACAGACAACAAAACTAACTGTCAACTAATTGACGTTTAACCTTATTCTGCTTTCTATTTCAAAAATATTTGCAGGCACAGCCTACTTCTAAAAATTATCGAGATACTGATTTTTTAACGTTCTTTTATCATAAATAATTAAAAATGCATCGAACCTTAAAAATCGAAATATCTCAAAAACGGCTAACTAAAACGAAAATTCACAAGAGAGCTTTTTTATGTTGAAAAGTGCGAAGAATCAGTTTTTCCTATTCAAAAAGCAAAAAATTGAACTAAGAAAATTTTTTCGGTCATTTTAATACACTACAGGTACAGTAGAGAGCGCCCTCTAGCAGCTACAGTAAAACTATGCCCATGGTTCGTTTTGTCGTACCAAAAAACCCTCGTATACCAATTTTCACTGTTATACATCAAATATTGTTCGAAATATTTAAAAAAAAACTATTTTAGAAAGTAAATTTAAACACCCTGTATTTCGGAAGCCACGCATTTTTCGACCCATGTTTATATAGACTTTATGCATTAATTTAAAAAGTTCTATCGAATCTTATGTTATGCAAAAATAAACTGAAACATCCTGTATATCAAGGCCTTAAGGAAGAAGAAATATAGACAGCTAATATTGAGAAGCCAGCGAAAAGTAGTGCTGCGCGTGGTATGCACTTACAGAACAGTGTCGACCGATGCACTGCTGGTGGTGGCTGGTATCCCGCCAATTGATCTGCTGACTGCGGAGAGAAGTGCGCTCTATAAAAAGGGCGTCGAAGCTACAAGCGACGAAAGAGAGATGCTTTTTGTAAGAAGGCAGGAGAGATGGAATGCAACTGGCCATGGAGCATGAACCAGAGGGCTGATCCCAGATATTAAAACTTGGATTAACAAGGGATCGGTTGTTGTTTTGACAGCTACCTGAAGAGGGTAATAAAGGGAGAGTACGCGAATTGCGTATATTGCAATGAGGAGGAGGATACTCCTAATCACATTCACCTACTCCAATGTGGTAACTGTGTTGACTACCAGACACAGCTGGAACTGACGCTCCGCGAGAGGCTCATTGCTGACAATTTTGCCACGAATATACGCGAGGAAAAGCGGGTTGATATTTAACAGATAGTGTTGCGAATGATGCTGAGTAAGGTACGGGAGAACAAAATTAGATCAAGGAACCAATAGTAGGTTTCTAATTTGCTTGGTTGTACATGTACCTATGTTTAAAAGTATTGTATATGTAGGACATGAAATATATGACTAATACCTTCGATATGAAAACCTAGCGCAACGCTACCCACTATGAAGAAATGCTGCAAGCATTACCGTGGTGGGATGTGTGGCGAACGACTGAGTGGTTTTAGAGAGTATGTCGTTTCTAGAGAATCTCACACTTCAGGCAGTAAGGGCCGGCAGGCAAATACTGTCGAGTTTTCTGCCTGAGAGTGGCTATAAAAGCTTTTTACTGTCAAAAAAGGCCGATTGCAGCCAACTTATCAAGGCGATTTGATTCGCCATACCGGATTTGTAGAGTTTTAGTAAGCAAAATCATACTAAATATTAGAATACTTATTTTCGTAGGTTGCTATAATAGTTTTCCTGGCTCACATCGGTTCATATGTACCTGCAAAAGATGCGAACATAGCAATGATAAGCAGTATATATTCCCGGATACAAGCTACAGAGTCTGCTACTGTCAGATTATCATCTTTTATGATAGATGTTACACAGGTAAAAACACTTAAATTATACGAGGCTTATTATTAACTTTTATGCCATTTTTCGGATAAACGCATCTGTAAGGGCGGATATATTCGGAAGTAATTACACAAGCGCATCAAAATTATGTTAATTTTTGATGAAAGCGTGTTGTCTAAAAACTGCATGAATATTTTTTAGAACTTTTTCGAAAAGTTTGCCAATACAGAAATTGGGCGATAATTACAAGGTTTCTGTTTATGTCCAGATTTAAATATATATTTTATTATGAAATGAGATATGGAATCAAATTACATATATCATCATAATGATCTACAGATTACCCACACATTCATCGACACAAGACCAAACAGCTTGATTTTGCTAGATGAGTTCGGACGAGGCACATCTGAAGAAGACGGCCTTGCACTTTTGGGAGCATTACTGAGAAGTTTTCTAGCAAGAGGCAATAACTGCCCGCATATTTTAGTTTCCACGCATATGCAACAAATATTTGAACATATACCACAATCATCTCTTGTATTGTATCAGAAGATGGAATATAAAAAAAACCAGGACGGATTCTATTTTTTATACAAATTGACGGAAGGTATGTAGCTGTGTCTCTAGCTCATACACACACACACACGCACACACGCACACACGCGCACACACACACACGCGCACACACACACACACACATATATATATATATATATATATAACAACAAGTAGGAAAATAATGGGCAAAAATTTTTTCCCCCTCCAACTTCGTTTCCCCCGGCTAAAACCCGTATCCGGATGTGTGGGCATGTGTATCTACTTTTGTAGTTTCATATGTGCATTCATTTCGGGCCCGATGAAGGCAACCAGCAGAAATACGTATCGCTCGGGTTACCTATCCTATTTTCTGCTCGAATCCACTTTCCTCCTTTTTGCGGATTTTGCCCATTATTTTCCTACTTGTTGTTATATACCTTTCTCCGCATGATCATATTCTCCCTCTCTCTCTCTATATATATATATATATATATATATATATATATATACAGGGTGACTTTGAAGTGGAGTCATTAATTTCCAGATAATGATTGTAGAAGGAAGATAAACCAAAATATGTGTGTAAAAATAAAAAAAAAATTAAAAAAAAAATTTTACCTTGTTTTATAAAGTATCCTCCCGACAAGTATTTCAGTGCGGACCTGCATTTGATCGTGAGGTCTTGGAGCACCGGCATGCCGTCCATATGTGAGGTCTTAAGTCAAATGATTCACGAACCCGTTGTAGTAGTAGTAGTAGTAGTAGAAAGATTTATTTAGCACATTTGGCTACATAAACAGAACAATTGTAAACAACTTAGAACTAGTAAATTCAAGCCATGTGGTGTATGATGTAAATGCTGGGCAACCTATAATTGTAGATTTAACAAGTGATTTCTCAATTTTACTTTAAATTTTGTCAAAGTTTTCTGGTCTTTTATCTCCGAGTATAATTTATTATATTAAGTCAACCCTTGATGGAATACAGATTTGTAGCATATGTTATACTTTTTGGTCATTAAATGGAAGTCATCTTTATTTCTGGTATTATGTAAATGATGGTCGACATTTGATGATGTTAAATTAGTTAGATTTTGATGGAAATATATTATTTTTTACTTTATAAATGAGTATCATTACAAGATATTTGATAAAATTTTTTACATTGAACCATTTTAATTTGCTAAGCATTTGCCTAATTGGAGTATATTTATCTTTATTTAGTATTATTCTCATGCACTTATTTTGTAAAATTTGCAGTCTTTCAAAATGGAATTATTTGCTAAATATAGAATAGTCGAACAGTACAAGAAATTTGGAAGAATGATGGTATTATAGATAATTTTTCTGCTATATGAACTCAGACATCCAGAAACTCTCGATAAATATCCCACTTTACTACTAATCTTATTTATAACTTTTTCATAATGAATATCAAAAATTAATCGAGAGTCAACAAAAACTCCCAGGTATTTAAAATTTTCTACGAATTCAATATCTTCACCATCAATATTCAGTTGAACATTTGTACATTGTTTTTTTCCGATTAACAAGGCTTTCGTTTTACTTGCATTTAATTTTAGTCTGTTAGATGCTAACCATTTTGAGACAAGCTTCAAGTCTGGCTGCTTTCTGCTCTTCAGTCAACAGGTGGGGTATCCAACGAGAAACTAATTTTCTTACTCCTAATTCTTCATGTAAAATTTTTTGAATTGAGGTCTTTGAGATCTTAAGGACGCCTCAATCTCGCGATACGTCACATGTCTATCTTCAATGATGAGTTTGCGCATAGCATCGACGTTTTCCTTCCTCGGTGACTGCCGTTTTTGGTGCACCCACCCTGGGATCGTCGCTAAGACTCACCCGTCCACGTTGTACATCGTTTTTTTCCGATTAACAAGGCTTTCGTTTTACTTGCATTTAATTTTAGTCTGTTAGATGCTAACCATTTTGAGACAAGCTTCAAGTCTTCATTTATATAAGAGATACCAGACTGAATATTTTAGTACTTATATAAATCATAGTGTCATCGGCGAAAATCTGAATTTTGCATTTATTTACTATGGCAGGTAAATCATTTATGTATAAAATAAAAAGAAGTGGTCCCAGGATACTGCCCTGTGGAACACCCAACGTATTTTCAATTTTTGATGAAATAGTGTCATTAACTTTTGTAACTTGCATCCTTTTAGACAAATAATTTCCAAACCAATCTAAAACACTTCCTGTTATACCATATGCCTTCAATTTACCTAACAAAATATCTCTATCAATCGTTTCAAATGCCCTCTTCAAATCCAAAAATACTGCTATGACAACTTCTTCTGAGTCTATGGCTCTTTTCCAATTCTCAGTTACCAACTGGAAAGCTGTTTCTGTGGAATATTTTTTTCGAAAGCCTGCTTGCGCCTCCACTAAAATTTTGTTTTCTTCTATAAACTGCATTAATTGGTCATGTACTATAGACTCTAATAATTTTTCAATGTCTGGTAACACATTTACTGGTCTCATATCGCTGCATCTTTTAGAATTTTTTATTTTGGGAACTGGTGTTATTGTAGAGCATTTCAAATTTTCAGGGAAAGAACTGCTTCTCAGTGAACAATTGATCCAATTTAATACAGGATATCCCAAAATTTCGAAACAGTTTTTCAGCACGTTTTTAGTAGTCATTTCGGCACAGTTGTTATTTGATTTTAAACTGTTTACTTTTTTTCTTAGATAATTCAATGATACGCTGTGAAATTTTGAAAGTGTATGCAACATTTCCCCCTGGAAACTGATTTTCATATAGTCAGGTGCAGCATTGGCAGTACCTACAATATCAACAATACTTTCCACAAAATATTCATTTAGTTTGTTTGCAATCACCAAAGAATTTGTTTCGGTACCGTTTTCGAATTGAACTTGATTTACACAATCATGCGGCTTCGAATTGATCAGTCTTTTTAAAGTCTTCCACATCTTTACACTGTCGCACTTGTTATTATCGATTTGTTTATCGTAGAATTTTCTTTTTTCTTCTCTAATTACATATACACATTTATTCCTAAGAGTTTTATATACCTCTCAATCATCATTTGATTTTGTGAATATACATTTATTGTATTGTTTGTCTCTCAAATTATGAGCTACCTTAATATTCTTGTTATACCAGGGTGTATTTTTTGTCGAGCAAATCAGTTTTTTATCAGTTGCAAGATCTAAACAAGTTTTTATATTTCCTATTATGTTGTCATATATTTTTTCCATATTCTCACCAAAATTCCAATTGTTGTACTTCATTAACAAAGGCACGAGGGGTTGGTTGCACTCGATTGGGAAACCGATCAGCATAAACATGTGCCATTTTTTATTTCGTTTGAGCCACGCAACAGACACCACTATTTACTACCGACTGACACTGACTGTATACAACTGAATGAAATAATTGTAAAAACATCGTTCCAAATTCTTTCGCTTTTTTGTTTCCGATGCGATGAACCGATAAGGCGATTATATTCGTTGTCGCCAAACACGAGCACATAATATTATTATTGAGACAGGGCGGTACTCAAACTTCCAAAGGGCTATAACTTTGTTACTTTAATTTTACCAGAAAAATGGTAAAGGAAAAAACATTTCTTTTGATCAGATCTACTCACTGTTAAAATAAATGACTCAACTTCGAAGTCACCCTGTATATATATATATATACATTGTGTCCGTAAAGTTGGGGTTTACCTTTACACGACGTGTAGATCTTGAAAACATAAGCAATTTTTCTTAGTACCATATACACCAATGTCTTAAGGAAACCGAGATAAAGGGCTCTGCAACATCAAAAATATCTGAATACCGTCCTGTAACCGCGACATCAAGGAGTGGTACAATGTCACTGGCTCAACCCGACGACAGAACTGGGCCGGGGTCAGTGTGTCAGGTCAGTATGCAACCTTCAACCGACGGTTACGGTCACGCGTGTAGAGGTAATCGCGTAGACGAGAATCCCTCAACAAGGGGGTAGAGAAGTGCAAGTATCAAAAACTAAAGTGTGGCAAACGCTGCGTGAAGAGGGGCTGTATCCCTTTCACGTCCAACGTGTACAAGCCCTTCAACCTGACGATTTTCCAGCAAGAGTGCGGTTTTGTGAGTGGTTGTTGCATCAACATGACAATAATCCGGACTTTTTGAAGTGCATATTGGTGACAGACGAAACTACGTTCACGCGTAATGGGGTGAATAACTTTCGCAACACTCATGTTTGGTCAGTAGAAAATCCGCACGCTGTCCGTCGGGCACATTTTCAACAAACATTTTCGGTGAATGTTTGGGCTGGCATGGTGAACGGTATGCTCATTGGACCATTTATTCTCCCAAATCGATTGGACGGGATGCAATACCTAGACCCTAGACTTTTTACGCAACATTTTGGCTTCCTTGTTTGCCTGCGTCTGCTCGGTAGCGCATCAGCTGATTTCATTTTCTGTTGGGGCGGTATGATTTCGGGCAGAGACGTACTTAGCCCTTCTCGTCGACTGGAGAGTGAGTACTTTTTCCTTTATTGTTTTTTTACTTGGTCGCCCTCATTTCACTACACATTACCTGTGTTATTTCAAGGGTAGTCGTTTCTGAAAAGGAAAACCTCAACTTTGCAGACACCCTGTATGTATAAAGAGAAAGGATCATGCGGAAAAAGGAATAAAACAAATAGAACAATAAGGAAAGTGGATTCGAGCAGAAAATAGGATAGGTAACCCGAGCGATACGTATTTGTGCTTGTTGGCTTCATCAGGCCCGAAATGAAGACACATGGAACCCCAAAAGTAGCTACATATGCCCATACATCCGGATACGAGTGTAACCTGAGGAAACGAAGATGGAGAGGAAAAAATGACACACGAGCCCCCAACAAGAGCCAACCTAGTACACATTGTAGTATAAAATGGCTAGAAGGCCTCGAATTTTCAAGGCGACATCATCTATTCCTTCTTTTTGCGGAATTTGCCCATTATTTTTATTATTGGTTATATATAACGCAGGCCAATGAAACAGTATCGAAAACTGTGAGACTTTCACAAAAACAAACTATTACCATATACAAGTATTTTATGTGACCTATTTGCTTCATGTTCTGAACACCTTATCTTCAAAAACTATTCCATTTTCCAGGTGTGTCTTCTAGTTTCGCATTGGAAATTGCAGAAACGTCAGGGATAGACAAGGAAGTACTAGCGCGTGCTGCACTCATTATGGACTGTATAAATTCAAATACTCCAATAATGCCCTTAAGAGAGAACAGACAACTATCTGCTTTAGAAAATCTCAAAAATCTGGATATTCCACAGCCAGATATTCCTATTGAGAATAATAAAAATGCTTAAACTCAGAAGTTTAGTGTTTTCAACGTTGTGCTGCTTTTTCCGAAATATAATACTGGATTTTTCAAATTTGACTCTCACTACTGGATACGAAGTTGGTTAAGTGAGGACGAAGTTGTGCATTTAGGTAATCAAGGAAATAGTACTTTGAAAGTTTTGCAATTCAGAGTTTCCGGAGATAGAGGAAGAAAACAGAACTATCCCAAAATAGTTTTTACTTTTCCTGGCTTTATGTGATGTGTGATTTCAAAATAAATTGCATAGTAACATTCCCACTTTTTTTCCTATATAATAATAATTGGTTGATCAAACGAACTTACCTGTAAGTGATGTTCGATCTTAATTATGTGAACGCCTCGTCGAAGTAAACAGAACAGGTATAGTACTCCGTTTCCCAGCCAAACTCATGAGTTCAAAGCGCGCACACAGCGAAGGAAAGCTGTACACCGCGCCCTCCCACCTTCCTCCTCTCCAGCCCCTGCCCTACAAACTCTCATTTTCTTCAAAGCTAAGTGTTTTTATTTTGCGAAATTTCGAGTCAACATTTTAATCACTTTCTATTTATCAGTAGACCTAAAACTTGTAAAAGTATGCTCAAAATTACAGCACTCCTAGTCGTTGTTGCATTTTCTATGTCATTTAGCATATAAGCTGGCCGACTCATGGGTAGACGCGTTTCATGTTCTGTGGGCTGTCAATTGTGACACACCTAGACCACTCTCTGCTGAAACAGACTTTATCCATTTACATATAGTGGGAACAGAGGCACAATGATAAAGTTTCTTTACAGTGACAAATAAATATTTTGGCTGGACAGATATTTAGGCGTAAAATACGGTAAACCTGGTTGCCACATGAGTGGCCCCGATGCTTTTAAAATCTGAGAAATCCCAATTTCTATCTTATTTAACCCGATCCGGATATTGTCTGTTTCAATAATGGGCACAGTTCGCACACTATGATGCCCCAATACCATACCCCAACAACCACAATATCTCAAGTGGGGCTATATGTCGGTTGAGATGGTCTCAATCTGTAAACACTCTTCAAAAACCATCTTATGCCTGCATCTATAGCAGCATTCTTGGTAAAAGTTGACTTACAGAAAATCAAACAATTATCTTAATCTCTTATCAAATTGTAAGGTTATCAAGGTAGAAAAACAGAAATATATATTTTCCCGATAAAGGTCCAACCGTAATCTAAGCCCACAATCATATAATGGATTGTAGATGCTGATCGGAATGATAGCCTTCTAGGATGACAGCCAAGATAAGCTTTAGAAATAGTGGGAGCGGGGTCCTGGGTTCCTCCAGCAGGATACAAAGGCTTCACACTTTGTGTTACTTCTAAAAGCGAAATTTCAGGGACACCGAACACATGAATCAATATCAGGACGGTGTAGTTCCCACTGCGTTTCCACGCCCCACTGACGCAAAAGATTATCTGTATCACTATTACTCATAGTTTTTATATTTGATGCGAGGCTAGTAAGATTTCTCTCTTTACACAATTGCCATAGCTCTCGAGCAACCTGGTCTAGGCGTGGAAACTGGAAGCTCCCCATTCCATTGATGTAGGATATTGTTGTCGCATTATCATTGGGATATACTAGGCAGTCTGATAAGTCCCTGAAAAATGAAACACGGAGACGTTTTTTTGGCCAAAGTCGGGTTTATTTTTCAACATACTCTCCTTTTAGGTCGATACAGCGAATCCAACGATTTTCTAACTTTTTGATACCGTCCGAAAAGTACTCGATCGGAAGGTCTCCAAAATACGCTTCAGTTTCAGCTATGAGCTCCTCATTTCAGTAAAAACGCTTACCGATGAGCCATCTCTTCAGGTTAGGGAATAAGTAATAGTCGCTGGGGGCCAGGTCTGGTGAATACGGTGGCTGAGGAACCAATTCGAAGCCGATTTCGTGCAATTTTGCTTGTGCAACTCAGCATGAATGAACAGGCGCATTGTCGTGATGATAAAGCGGTTTTTTCTTCTTCAAATGCGGTCGTTTTTCGGCGATTTCGATTTTCAATCGGTCCAATAATGATGAATAATATGCTCCGGTTATGGTTTTACCTTTTCCAAGATAGTCCACGAATATTATGCCATGAGCATCCCAAAATACGGAGGCCATAACCTTTCCGGCCCATTGTTGCGTTTTTGGACGCTTCGGAGCACTTCGGCCCGGTGGAACCCACTGTTTTGCCTGTTGCGTTGACTCAGGAGTGTAGTAATGGATCCAGGTTTCATCCATGGTTACAAATCGTCGCAAAAACTCGGTCGGCTTACGCGAAAATAATGCCAAATTCTGCTGGGAAGTCGTCACACGAATTCGTTTTTGGTCCACTGTGAGCAAACGCGGCACCCATCGCGCGCAGAGCTTCTTCATGCCCAAAACTGAATGGACGATATTGCCTACGCGTTCCAATGACATGCCTACAGCATTAGCTACCTCTCTCAATTTCACTTTGGGATCATTCAACATCATATCATGGATTTTTTCGACGTTTTCTGGTGTAGTGACCTCTTTTGGGCGCCCAGATCGTTCAGCATCAACTGTGCTTGTACGGCCACAACGAAACTCCGTAAACCACTTATGAATCGTTCCAATCGACGGTGCAGAGTCCGGGTAATACTTATCCAGCTTGGCCTTGGTCTCGGATATCGTTTTCTTGCGTAGATAGTAGTGTTTGATCAAAACTCGAAACTCGGATTTTTCCATATTAAAAAAAACTCTGAGGTTAGTCGCTTCTCAGTGCTGTAACTTGTAAATGTGTAAACATGAATGGCTGAAGTTTTGACAGGTGTCATTTGAAGGATCAGGCTCGACAAAAATGGTTCGCATTAGTGAATACTAATGCCATCTCTTAGAATTTTCAGGTACTTATCAGACTGCCTAGTAATATTCGACAGCCCCTCAAGACGTGAGCAAAACATAAAACATTCACGACCGAAGAAAACTGCCAATAGTTCCAGATGATTGGCATGCGGGATCTTCTTCTCGGTTCACCAAAAACCATGAGACTTTTGACCTGCCCAGAGAATGTCCCAGCCCGAGAAATTATACAACTGAAAATGTGAACAGATGTTAGTGGCATAGCGTTAAAATTCTCTTGAGAATGTTACAGGGCAAGAAATTTCACTCGTTAGTGTATCGGGCCCCGATTTGGTTGCTGTCCGTTATTGCCCTTACTAAAAGTTTAGTAATATCTGCATCTTCCGCTCAAGTTTCTGCCACAACTGAATACTCTCTGATGGGTGTCAAAATCTGTGCATATTCCAAATCCAGATTCGCTAAGAAAATATACTCAGTGACATTAGAAGTATTACACCCAGAAATAATAATTTCTTCAACTTGATTTTTTGCAAACGATAACATTCTCACGAAATTTTATTAACAGTAAGAAACAAAATTAATAATGTGTTGGGCTACTCCGCAGCTGAATACACTCCTGTATACGGCTAGGCATCGACAAAATGAAATGGTCGATGTTTGGATGTGGCACCTCATTCCAAGCAACGCGAACATCGTGGATTAGCTATGGCAGAGTTTGTGGCGGATGGTGCAAAGTGGATAGTATCCCACGGCAAAATATTTACGCCTGCTTCTTGAAGAAATACCGAAGTACGACGAGCAATTTGGGGACGTGAGTTGACTTGCTGAAAAAGGACGTGTGGACGGCCCTCTAGATACGGTAGTGAAATGGTTTGTAGGTCATCATCAACATAACGCACAGCAGTCATATTGCCTTGAACAAAGAGAAGCGGTGATCGGCTACCATAGGCAATAGCCCCCCAACACATTACTCCAACAGTCTTATGTATATGCCTCTAAACAGCAAATCCAATATCACGCCGTTCTCCACGGCAACGTCTGACCCTTCTACGACCATCGTGCATACCTAGACAGAGAATCGCGATTCGTCGCTGACGATATTATGCCATTGTGCCTCCCAATGTTGCCGTTCTCTGCTCCAGTTCAAACGTTAAAGACGGTGGTCAGCAGTCAGAGGAAGTACTAACCCTGGACGGTATGAAAGAAGTACAAAGGCTCCAATGTGGCGATAGAGTGTACGCATAGTAACAGGTCTACCTTCTTCTCCGAACCATTGGTCAGCGATCTGACGCGTAGTACGCGCCTTCGTGTTCCTCTACCTTCTTCTATCCACACCCGACACACACGCATTACCGTCATTGCAGTACAATCAACACGGCGGCCAATTTCGCGATAGGACAAACCAACATCTCGATAGGCAATGTCAAAGTCTCTACCATGGTGATAATTTGGACGTATTCGAACTCGGGGCATTTTGTTATGCTTAACACTAGTAAATGAAAGGGCAATAACTAAAAATATCTGTACTACTCAGCTTTCAGAAGCTGCTTTCTTCACAAAAACTAAGAGATAAATATTCTAACATCGGGAATCAAAAACGATAAAACGTTGACATTGTTGTCACATCATGCTTTAAATATAGTCACTATGTTGTCAAAAGAACAAGTTGAAGACTTTTTTTGGATGTAACACTTCTAATGTCACCGAGTATATCCGGATTAGGCTTTTACTGGCGTAAATTGTTTTCGTCCATGCCACTAATCATGTAAAGCATTGTATCCTTATAGAGGGATGAAATAAAAACTAGTAGAAAAATTATATATGATTTATTTACACTTGTTTGTGGAAATTATAACTAATATATCATGAAAGTTGTTCATTGTTTCTCTCTAATTTAATAAAAATGTACAAAATCTAAAGTGTCCTCAAAAATCAACAGAATGAAAAGAAAATTTTGTTGATAAACGTCATGTCCAAACTTTAAATTTACTGATTATAAATAAGCCTTGGAATGTACTAAATGTATCAAAATTTACCGTCAGCTATTTTGAAGCCTATATTGAGTTAATAAATAAATGAATTAATTTATAAAAAAAGTACGAAACACTTATTGGTTTACACCAACAAAAAATGATTAAACCTTTGAGCTTAACATTCTTAACAAGTCAAAATACCTCCATAAAACAAACGAAATTAACACTTGGAAGCGCTAACTCAAATTCTGTCACATAAACATGAATACTAATATGGGCTATTCAAATCACCGTCGATGAATAGAGATAGACATATCTGTTGACAAAATTTCCATTTCACGTTGTTGCTATCATTCACTGGTGAAAAGCCGAACAAACGTTTATTGTTGCAGATCGTATATATAGTCTTCGACCGAATATCATGAACATTTGTAAGAGCAGTGGACCAGTGGATGTTGG